TTATGGTCGCTCAGTACATGGATTGACTACACCAGGTAAGAGATCACAGGCAAAACAGAAAATGTCTAGCACATTTGTCAGTGATGTTAGTATCTGTGGTGTATGTGCTGAAGAGCATGACATTTGGAACTGCAAACTTTTCAAAGGAATGTTTGTTTCTGATAGATGGAACGAAGCCAAAAGATTGAAGCTTTGTTTTCGTTGTCTTAGGGGCAATCATCTGGGTAACAGCTGTCGTCAAAATAGGCTGTGTGGTATATCAGGTTGTTCAAGGAACCACAACAGACTATTGCATAATGAAAACTCTGGAAAGAATGAGTTCATTGACAAGACTTCGCGTACCTACCAAAACAGAGGTAAAGCTAAACCACAAGTTGATGAGTCAGTGGTAAATTTGGGTCACGATGCAGAAAAATCAAAATCTCAAAAATGTGATCAAACTGAAACGTCTCATGCAACAATGCCACTGACGTCAAACACTTTGATGACTCTTCGCACTGTTCCAGCTGCAGTGGTATTGAAAAATGGGACTAGGACCATTACAGTAAACACTTTGTTGGATGATGCGAGCACAAAGTCTTACATTAATGCCGACATTGCAGCTGAGTTGGGTTTACAGGGTGAGCCAGAGAAGATCTTTGTAAATGTTTTAAATGGTCACACAGAATCATTTGAGACAAAACCAGTAGAATTTAAGCTTGAAAGTGTCAGTGGTGATCTTAGTATTCAGATGTCTGCAATGACAACTAATGCTGTGACTGGCAATTTGCAAGCGATTTACTGGCAAAAGCACAGAAACAAATGGACACATTTACAAAGTATACCATTCCCAAAAGTATCAAAGCCTTGCAGGGTTGAATTGCTTATCGGTGTGGATCATTTGGATTTGCACAAGTCGTTTAGAGAGGTGACTGGGCATCCTGGTGATCCAGTTGCAAGACTTACCCCACTTGGATGGACATGCATAGGTAGCTTATCTGATCAAGGTAAGTTTGAACAAAGTAACTTTGTTAGTTCATTCTTCACTGACAGCAACGATGTTGAGCTGACTGAGTTACTGCACAAGTTTTGGGAAATAGATCAAGGAAACCCAATATCACAAATGAAGCCTGATGATGAAAAGGTTTTAAAGTATGCCCATGAAACACTCACTCATAAGGATGGTCGATATGAAATAGGTATTCCTTGGAATGAAAATGCTCATTCACTGACTGACAACTATCTCATGGCTGTTAAACGTCTTAACAGTACGGAAAGGAAGTTGACAAAACATCCAGAAATAGCCAAGGCTTATGAGGATATTATCTCTGAGTACTTGTCGAAAGGATACATTCGCAAAGTTCCACAAGATGAATCATTTAGTGAAACAAGATGGTATCTTCCTCACTTTCCCATTTTGCGTCCGGATAGGAGTACCACAAAGGTTCGTATTGTGTTCGATGAATCAGCTAAAAATGATGAAGTATCTTTGAATGATGCAATACATGCAGGACCAAAGTTTCAAAGTGAGTTGTTTGATGTCTTACTCCGCTTCAGAAGACATCCAGTGGCACTTATCTGTGACATAGCTGAAATGTTTCTTCAGATCAGTATATCACCAAGTGATCGACCTTATCATAGATTCTTGTGGAGGTCAATGGATATGACTAGAAGTCCTGACGTGTATGAATTCAGTAGGGTTGTATTTGGAGTTACATCCTCTCCATTCTTGGCCCAGTTCGGGGCACAGGAAAATGCACGAGTTCATATCAAAGAATTTCCACTGGCTGCAGAAACTGTCATCAAATCAACATATATGGATGATAGTATGAATTCTGTTGAAGATGAGAAAAAGGGTCTAGAACTCTATGAACAGTTGAAAACCTATGGTCCAAGGCGGGTATGCATGCCAGAAAGTGGATGTCTAATCACCTTGAGGTATTAGATGGCATACCTGAGGGAGATAGAGTAAATGAGGTTGATCTCAACAGAGGGCATTTGCCATCAGTGAAAACTCTTGGTTTGTTATGAATAGCCGCAAATGATTGGTTTACGTTTAGGGTAAACTTCCCTATAACACATGACAAAATCTTCAAAAGAGGTTTTTGATCCGTTGGGTTTCATTGCACCATTCATTGTCACTGCTAAAGTAATCCCACAAGAGATGTGGATGGGGGGACTCGACTGGGATGAGGAGGTAGATGAGGCGATGAGAAACAGAATAGAACAATGGCTAGGAGATCTAAATGGTCTAGAGACAGTACAGGTTCCCCGGTGTCTTTGCAGTGATAAAGACATCAGTTCTCTGACTTTGCATACCTATGTTGATGCCTCACAGATTGCATATGGAGCGGTTGTGTATGCAGTAACTGCTTATCCAAATGGTGACAAATTGAGCAGAATAGTAGCTTCAAAAAGCAGAGTTGCGCCACTGAAAGCTGTCAGTATACCCAGATTAGAGTTAATGGCAGCGAATCTAGGGCTACGATTGGCACTGAATATCACGGAAGCACTTGATGCTGACTTGAAACAGGTGATATTCTGGTCAGACAACATGAACGTGTTATGCTGGATTAGAAATAACAGCAGAATTTTCAAACCTTTCGTGGCCAACAGGGTAGGTGAAATCCAGGATGTCACAAGTCCTTCACAGTGGAGACATACTCCAACAGAAGCAAATCCTGCTGACTTGATTAGTCGAGGAGCAACAGTTCAACAGTTGGTAGCTAGTTCATTGTGGTGGTCAGGTCCCTCTTATTTAATAAGAGATGAAATCTATCAAGGTAGATGAGCAAAGAGAGGTGAACAGAAACAGAATTCTATCTGCAAGTTTTGTTTCGGTGCCCTGTGAGTCATGGCGACTAGAACCCTCCAGATTCTCCTCATGGAGAAGACTCACACGAGTGAATGCATGGGTTTACAGGTTCCTTCACAATTGTATAGCATCAAATGATGATGAAGTTGAAGGAGAATTATCACCAGATGAGATAAGTGACGCTGAAAACAGAATCATCATGGATGTGCAGAGGGAATCTTATCCAAAAGAATATTCATCATAAGTGTCCAGAAAGCCATTACCATCAGGGTCGAAAATCCTGAACCTTCATCCTCAGCTGGATGACAATGGGATCATGAGGTTGGAGGGACGTTTGGAGTATGCTGAATACTTACCTTTAGATACAAAATTCCCAATCATTCTGCCCAAAAACAGCTGGGTGACAACGCTTATTGTCAAGCATTATCATGACGAAGGTAAGCATGTTGCTGGAACGAACCAAACATTAGCTTCACTTTCAACAAGGTACTGGATTATCTCTGGTAGAGAAGCGATTCGGTCATGGGAAAGGAAATGTCCACGGTGCCTATTGAATAAGGCAAGGCCAGTTCAACCAGTTATGGCTCCTTTGCCGAAAATGAGAATGGGAGTTTCACTTCGAGCCTTTAAACAAACTGGGGTAGATTATGCTGGGCCATTCATGACCGTTCAGGGTCGAGGTAAACATCGACAGAAGCGTTACCTCTGTCTGTTTACATGCTTGTCGACCAGAGCCGTTCATTTGGAAATGGCCTATGGATTGGATACGGACTCTTTTCTAAATGCCTTTTATCGGACGTTAACAGAAGAGGTCTTCCTGAGTTGGTAGTATCTGATTATGGTACCAACTTCGTTGGTTCGGTCAAGGAATTGAAGGAGTTGTTCCTACTCCTTGATGAGGATGCACTTGCAAACAAAGGCATCAAATGGCGTTTCAATCCTCCTCATGCATCACATTTTGGAGGGGTGTTTGAATCCATGATAAAAGCTGCTAAGCGTGCCATTTTTTCTCGTCCGTTGACGTACCATTCTGCTCATCCACAAGACAGTACACCTCTCACGCCAAATCACTTCTTACATGGCCAGATTGGTGGCGTGTTCGCACCTGACTCAGTTGACACAACAGACTTCAATCCACGCAAACGGTGGAGAAGAATTCAAGAATTGGTTCGTCACTTTTGGCACCGGTGGATGAGAGAATGGCTACCAAGCCTCAACACCAGAAGAAAATGGCACACTCCTCAGAGGGATTTACAAGTTGGAGATGTTGTCTTAGTAATATCTCCCGACACGCCTCGTGGAAACTGGCAACTTGGCAGAATATTGAAGGTCTATCCAGGAAAAGATGGCCATGTTAGTGTCGTTGATATTAAGACAAGACTGTCAGTAGTGAAAAGACCAGCAAACAAAGTATGTCCACTGGAATGGGTTTCTTCGAGTGAAACAAATGGTCTTGATTAGCTTTCAGGATAATAGTTTTCAATCTATGATTGACAGATGTCAATCATGGAAGGGGGTATGGTTTGAAGACATGCCAAAGAGGGAACAGATAGCGGAAACGCATCTTCCTTCGCGGAAATAAGTATTGCATTGCACGGGCTGCCCGAGCACGTGCGGAGAGAGGGATTGGAATTGCTTGAGTTATCGTCACTTTTGGCTTCAGATGTAGTCGCGATAGGACGTAAGTAAGTCACTTTAGTTTGAGATGTCGTCGCCATAGGACGAACATCTGTCACTTTGGTTAATAGTTAAAATTCCACTGCGCCACACTGACTGATGGTGTGAGGACGTACACTGATGGTGTGAGGACGTACACTGATGGTGCGAGGACGGACACTGACTGATGGTGCGAGGACGTATACTGACTGATGGTGCGAGAACGTGCACTGACTGATGGTGTGAGGACGTACACTGATGGTGCGAGGACGTACACTGATGGTGCGAGGACGTACACTGACTGATGGTGCGAGGACGGACACTGACTGATGGTGCGAGGATGTATACTGACTGATGGGGTGAGGACGTACACTGATGGTGCGAGGACGTACACTGATGGTGCGAGGATGTACACTGACTGATGTACACTGACTGATGGTGCGAGGATGTACACTGACTGATGGTGCGAGGACGTACACTGACTGATGGGGTGAGGACGCACACTGACTGAGTGTGCGAGGATGTACACTGACTGATGGTGCGACCTTACCTACAGTGGTGTTCCCAACGTGGTATGTGACGTTGTCAAAGGAGCTGCAATATAAATAGATACACTCACACGTAAACACCTTGTTATAAAAACCCTTCACTGCTGCTGTCTGTAAACATTGTGGACAACAGTGTGAGTAAAGGATGAGTATTTGTCACCATGTCACGGTGACGAGCTGTAACCACACAACCCCGCTATAAAGCATCTTTGTCCTTTTTGTTGTTTTTTAAACATTACCATAGATTGTGTAGTCTCATCTTCCGTCCATCTGAAGAACAACACATATGATGCAACATCACTGACCTTCCAGAATTACAATGGCACAAAGTCGTCAGAGCGTAATGGGGACGGTCTGCCCAAAGCGATGCGTATCGTTGACGTTTACTTTGACGACCACGTGTATACAGACCACAGACCAAGTCACTGGGATTCGTCAGGGGACGCTTCTTTGTCATCCCCTTAAGTATCACGCTGTCTTAGTATAAGTCATCAGTATCACGCTGTCTTAGTATAAGTCATCAGTATCACGCTGTCTTAGTATAAATCATCAGTATCACGCTGTCTTAGTATAAGTCATCAGTACCACGCTGTCTTAGTATAAGTCATCAGTATCACGCTGTCTTAGTATAAGTCATCACGGGGCTGGGCGGATGGTGCCAATGTTTCGCCTGCTCACCTCAATGAATCATTAGCATTCAAAGTGGTAAACGTATAGGAGCTACACTGTTTATGAAGCAGAGTTGTCTCACCTGAATGTGGCATTGGTCGGGAAAGTCTTCATTTCCGGCACCAGCAGGGGTCCTGAAATACACGAACGTTTGGAAAGATTATCTGGAGTAATGAGTGAGTGAATATCGTTTTACGCCCCATCGGAAGCACCCTGTCCCCTGATACCCACTACTCGTGTGGCATCAGGCACCGATTCTTTGCCAGAACCCCAGGCGGGATGAGCTGAAAGTGGGGGAACATAATCATTTTACTCACTTGTTTTATCTGCCATCGACGCACGCGCACCTACTCATGTCTCTCACAGTTCAACCACAAATTAGGAATGAATCGAGCAACGAAGCAATACAGTTAACTCACCGACCAGAAACGTCAGTCCTAGGCTCAGACCAATGACTACAAAACCTATAGTCGTTGACGTTGTGCGCTCCTCGCGCGGAAACCAAACTGCCGACAATTTTGCCACACCTCCTTTACCGATAGGGCCGGCCAGTCCGTTCAATATGTGACCTGTATGAACCAACCTGCAACACGCCACCGTGAAGAACTATACCACACGGACAGTCTAAATACAGACACCCGTTACAGCACACCCATAAACACACATCCCCTGACAGCACCCACCCCCCTTACAACACACCCACCCATAAACACACCTTCCCTTACAACACCCTCCCTTACCCGCCCCGACAACATCAACCCCACCCCCCTTACAACACACCCACCCATAAACACACCTTCCCTTACAACACCCTCCCTTACCCGCCCCGACAACATCCACCCCACCCCCTTACAACACACCCACCCATAAACACACCTTCCCTTACAACACCCTCCCTTACCCGCCCCGACAATATCCACCCCACCCCCCTTACAACAAACCCACCCATAAACACACCTTCCCTTACAACAACCTCCCTTACCCGCCCCGACAACATCCACCCCACCCTCCTTACATCACACCCACCCATAAAAACACCTTCCCTTACAACACCCTCCCTTACCCGCCCCGACAACATCCACCCCACCCCCCTTACAACACACCCACCCATAAACACACCTTCCCTTACAACACCCTCCCTTACCCGCCCCGACAATATCCACCCCACCCCCCTTACAACACACCCACCCATACACACACCTTCCCTTACAACACCCTCACTTACCCGCCCCGACAACATCCACCCCACCCAACTAAACACACACACACACATAAACACACCACCCCTTACAACACCCTCCCTTACCCGCCCCGACAACATCCACCCCACCCCACTAAACACACACACACACACACACATAAACACACCATCCATTAAAACACCCTCCCTTACCCGCCCCGACAACATCCAACCCACCCCACTAAACACACACACACATTAACACACCATCCATTAAAACACCCTCCCTTACCCACCCCGACAACATCCACCCCACCCCACTAAACAAACACATACATAAACACACCATCCCTTACAACACTCTCCCTTACCCGCCCCGACAACATCCACCCCACCCCACTAAACACACACACACATAAACACACCATCCCTAACAACACTCTCCCTTACCCGCCCCCCCCCCCCTCCCCCCGACAACATCCACCCCACCCCACTAAACATACACACACATAAACACACCATCCCTAACAACACCCTCCCTTACCCGCCCCGACAACATCCAACCCACCCCACTAAACACACACACACATAAACACACCATCCCTTAAAACACCCTCCCTTACCCGCCCCGACAACATCCACCCCACCCCGCTAAACACACACACCCATAAACACACCATCCCTTAAAACACCCTCCCTTACCCGCCCCGACAACATCCAACCCACCCCACTAAACACACTCACACATAAACATACCATCCCTAACAACACCCTCCCTTACCCGCCCCGACAACATCCACTCCACCCCACTAAACTCACACACACCCATACACATACCATCCCTAACAACACCCTCCCTTACCCGCCCCGACAACATCCACCCCACCCTACTAAACACACACACCCATAAACACACCATCCCTTAAAACACCCTCCCTTACCCGCCCCGACAACATCCACCCCACCCCACTAAACAGACACACACATAAACACACCTTCCCTTACAACACCCTCCCTTACCCGCCCCGTCAACATCAACCCCACCCCACTAAACACACACACATATAAACACACCATCCCTTACAACACCCTCCCTTACCCGCCCCGACAACATCCACCCCACCCCACTAAACACACACACACATAAACACACCATCCCTTAAAACACCCTCCCTTACCCGCCCCGACAACATCCACCCCACCCCGCTAAACACACACACCCATAAACACACCATCCCTTAAAACACCCTCCCTTACCCGCCCCGACAACATCCACCCCACCCCACTAAACACACACACACATAAACACACCATCCATTAAAACACCCTGCCTTACCCGCCCCGACAACATCCACCCCACCCCACTAAACACACACACACATCAACACACCATCCATGAAAACACCCTCCCTTACCCGCCCCGACAACATCCACCCCACCCCACTAAACACACACACACATAAACACACCATCCATTAAAACACCCTCCCTTACCCGCCACGACAACATCCACCCCACCCCACTAAACACACACACACATCAACACACCATCCATTAAAACACCCTCCCTTACCCGCCCCGACAACATCCACCCCACCCCACTAAACACACACACACATAAACACACCATCCATTAAAACACCCTCCCTTACCCGCCCCGACAACATCCAACCCACCCCACTAAACACCAACACACATAAACACACCATGCATTAAAACACCTTCCCTTACCCGCCCCGACAACATCCAACCCACCCCACTAAACACACACACACATAAACACACCATCCATTAAAACACCCTCCCTTACCCGCCCCGACAACATCCACCCCACCCTACTAAACACACACACACATAAACACACCATCCATTAAAACACCCTCCCTTTCCCGCCCCGACAACATCCAACCCACCCCACTAAACACACACACACATAAACACACCATCCCTTAAAACACCCTCCCTTACCCGCCCCGACAACATCCACCCCACCCCACTAAACACACACAGACATAAACACACCATCCCTTAAAACACCCTCCCTTACCCGCCCCGACAACATCCACCCCACCCCACTAAACACACACACACATAAACACACCATCCATTAAAACACCCTCCCTTACCCGCCCCGACAACATCCAACCCACCCCACTAAACACACACACACATAAACACACCATCCATTAAAACACCTTCCCTTACCCGCCCCGACAACATCCACCCCACCCCACTAAACACACACACACATAAACACACCATCCATTAAAACACCCTGCCTTACCCGCCCCGACAACATCCACCCCCCACCCCCACCCCCCAACCCCACCCCCCCCCCCCCCCCCAACCTCCACTAAACTTACACACACATAAACACACCATCCCTTAAAACACCCTCCCTTACCCGCCCCGACAACATCCACCCCACCCCACTAAACTAACACACCCATAAACACACCTTCCCTTACAACACCCTCCCTTAAACCCCCCCCCCCCCCCGACAACATCCACCCCACCCCACTAAACACACACACCCATAAACACACCATCCCTAACAACACCCTCCCTTACCCGCCCCGACAACATCCACCCCACCCCACTAAACACACACACCCATAAACACACCCTCCCTAACAACACCCTCCCTTACCCCCCCCCCCCCCCCCGACAACATCCACCCCACCCACACCATCCCTAACAACACCCTCCCTTACCCGCCCCGACAACATCCACCCCACCCCACTAAACACACACACCCATAAACACACCCTCCCTAACAACACCCTCCCTTACCCGCCCCGACAACATCCATCCCACCCCACTAAACACACACACCCATAAACACACCATCCCTAACAAAACCCTCCCTTACCCGCCCCGACAACATCCACCCCACCCCACTAAACACACACACACATAAACACACCATCCCTTACAACACCCTCCCTTACCCGCCCCGACAACATCCACCCCACCCCACTAAACACACACACACATAAACACACCATCCATAAAAACACCCTCCCTTACCCGCCCCGACAACATCCACCCCACCCCACTAAACACACACACACATCAACACACCATCCATGAAAACACCCTCCCTTACCCGCCCCGACAACATCCACCCCACCCCACTAAACACACACACACATAAACACACCATCCATTAAAACACCCTCCCTTACCCGCCACGACAACATCCACCCCACCCCACTAAACACACACACACATCAACACACCATCCATTAAAACACCTTCCCTTACCCGCCCCGACAACATCCACCCCACCCCACTAAACACACACACACATAAACACACCATCCATTAAAACACCCTCCCTTACCCGCCCCGACAACATCCAACCCACCCCACTAAACACACACACACATAAACACACCATCCATTAAAACACCTTCCCTTACCCGCCCCGACAACATCCAACCCACCCCACTAAACACACACACACATAAACACACCATCCATTAAAACACCCTCCCTTACCCGCCCCGACAACATCCACCCCACCCTACTAAACACACACACACATAAACACACCATCCATTAAAACACCCTCCCTTTCCCGCCCCGACAACATCCAACCCACCCCACTAAACACACACACACATAAACACACCATCCCTTAAAACACCCTCCCTTACCCGCCCCGACAACATCCACCCCACCCCACTAAACACACACACACATAAACACACCATCCCTTAAAACACCCTCCCTTACCCGCCCCGACAACATCCAACCCACCCCACTAAACACACACACACATAAACACACCATCCATTAAAACACCCTCCCTTACCCGCCCCGACAACATCCAACCCACCCCACTAAACACACACACACATAAACACACCATCCATTAAAACACCTTCCCTTACCCGCCACGACAACATCCAACCCACCCCACTAAACACACACACACATAAACACACCATCCATTAAAACACCCTCCCTTACCCGCCCCGACAACATCCACCCCACACCACTAAACACACACACACATAAACACACCATCCCTAACAACACCCTCCCTTTCCCGGCTCGACAACATCCAACCCACCCCACTAAACACACACACACATAAACACACCATCCATTAAAACACCCTCCCTTACCCGCCCCGACATCATCCAACCCACCCCACTAAACACACACACACATAAACACACCATCCATTAAAACACCTTCCCTTACCCGCCCCAACAACATCCACCCCACCCCACTAAACACACACACACATAAACACACCATCCATTAAAACACCCTGCCTTACCCGCCCCGACAACATCCACCCCCCACCCCCACCCCCCAACCCCCCCCCCCACCCCCCCACCCCCAACCCCCACTAAACTTACACACACATAAACACACCATCCCTTAAAACACCCTCCCTTACCCGCCCCGACAACATCCACCCCACCCCACTAAACTAACACACCCATAAACACACCTTCCCTTACAACACCCTCCCTTACCCCCCCCCCCCCCCCCCCCCCCCCCGACAACATCCACCCCACCCCACTAAACACACACACCCATAAACACACCATCCCTAACAACACCCTCCCTTACCCGCCCCGACAACATCCACCCCACCCCACTAAACACACACACCCATAAACACACCCTCCCTAACAACACCCTCCCTTACCCGCCCCGACAACATCCATCCCACCCCACTAAACACACACACCCATAAACACACCATCCCTAACAAAACCCTCCCTTACCCGCCCCGACAACATCCACCCCACCCCACTAAACACACACACACATAAACACACCATCCCTTAAAACACCCTCCCTTACCCGCCCCGACAACATCCACCCCACCCCACTAAACACACACACACATAAACACACCATCCATAAAAACACCCTCCCTTACCCGCCCCGACAACATCCACCCCACCCCACTAAACACACACACACATCAACACACCATCCATGAAAACACCCTCCCTTACCCGCCCCGACAACATCCACCCCACCCCACTAAACACACACACACATAAACACACCATCCATTAAAACACCCTCCCTTACCCGCCACGACAACATCCACCCCACCCCACTAAACACACACACACATAAACACACCATCCATTAAAACACCTTCCCTTTCCCGGCTCGACAACATCCAACCCACCCCACTAAACACACACACACATAAACACACCATCCATTAAAACACCCTCCCTTACCCGCCCCGACATCATCCAACCCACCCCACTAAACACACACACACATAAACACACCATCCATTAAAACACCTTCCCTTACCCGCCCCAACAACATCCACCCCACCCCACTAAACACACACACACATAAACACACCATCCATTAAAACACCCTCCCTTACCCGCCCCGACAACATCCACCCCACCCCACTAAACTAACACACCCATAAACACACCTTCCCTTACAACACCCTCCCTTACCCCCCCCCCCCCCCCCCCCCCCCCCGACAACATCCACCCCACCCCACTAAACACACACACCCATAAACACACCATCCCTAACAACACCCTCCCTTACCCGCCCCGACAACATCCACCCCACCCCACTAAACACACACACCCATAAACACACCCTCCCTAACAACACCCTCCCTTACCCGCCCCGACAACATCCATCCCACCCCACTAAACACACACACCCATAAACACACCATCCCTAACAAAACCCTCCCTTACCCGCCCCGACAACATCCACCCCACCCCACTAAACACACACACACATAAACACACCATCCCTTACAACACCCTCCCTTACCCGCCCCGACAACATCCACCCCACCCCACTAAACACACACACACATAAACACACCATCCATAAAAACACCCTCCCTTACCCGCCCCGACAACATCCACCCCACCCCACTAAACACACACACACATCAACACACCATCCATGAAAACACCCTCCCTTACCCGCCCCGACAACATCCACCCCACCCCACTAAACACACACACACATAAACACACCATCCCTTAAAACACCCTCCCTTACCCGCCACGACAACATCCACCCCACCCCACTAAACACACACACACATCAACACACCATCCATTAAAACACCCTCCCTTACCCGCCCCGACAACATCCACCCCACCCCACTAAACACACACACACATAAACACACCATCCATTAAAACACCCTCCCTTACCCGCCCCGACAACATCCAACCCACCCCACTAAACACCAACACACATAAACACACCATCCATTAAAACACCCTCCCTTTCCCGCCCCGACAACATCCAACCCACCCCACTAAACACACACACACATAAACACACCATCCCTTAAAACACCCTCCCTTACCCGCCCCGACAACATCCACCCCACCCCACTAAACACACACACACATAAACACACCATCCCTTAAAACACCCTCCCTTACCCGCCCCGACAACATCCAACCCACCCCACTAAACACACACACACATAAACACACCATCCATTAAAACACCCTCCCTTACCCGCCCCGACAACATCCAACCCACCCCACTAAACACACACACACATAAACACACCATCCATTAAAACACCTTCCCTTACCCGCCCCGACAACATCCAACCCACCCCACTAAACACACACACACATAAACACACCATCCATTAAAACACCCTCCCTTACCCGCCCCGACAACATCCACCCCACACCACTAAACACACACACACATAAACACACCATCCCTAACAACACCCTCCCTTTCCCGGCTCGACAACATCCAACCCACCCCACTAAACACACACACACATAAACACACCATCCATTAAAACACCCTCCCTTACCCGCCCCGACATCATCCAACCCACCCCACTAAACACACACACACATAAACACACCATCCATTAAAACACCTTCCCTTACCCGCCCCGACAACATCCACCCCACCCCACTAAACACACACACACATAAACACACCATCCATTAAAACACCCTGCCTTACCCGCCCCGACAACATCCACCCCCCACCCCCAACCCCTAACCCCCCCCACCCCCCCCCTCCCCCCCACCCCCAACCCCCACTAAACTTACACACACATAAACACACCATCCCTTAAAACACCCTCCCTTACCCGCCCCGACAACATCCACCCCACCCCACTAAACTAACACACCCATAAACACACCTTCCCTTACAACACCCTCCCTTACCCCCCCCCCCCCCCCCCCCCGACAACATCCACCCCACCCCACTAAACACACACACCCATAAACACACCATCCCTAACAACACCCTCCCTTACCCGCCCCGAGAACATCCACCCCACCCCACTAAACACACACACACATAAACACACCATCCCTAACAAAACCCTCCCTTACCCGCCCCGACAACATCCACCCCACCCCACTAAACACACACACACATAAACACACCATCCCTTACAACACCCTCCCTTACCCGCCCCGACAACATCCACCCCACCCCATTAAACACACACACACATAAACACACCATCCATAAAAACACCCTCCCTTACCCGCCCCGACAACATCCACCCCACCCCACTAAACACACACACACATCAACACACCATCCATGAAAACACCCTCCCTTACCCGCCCCGACAACATCCACCCCACCCCACTAAACACACACACACATAAACACACCATCCATTAAAACACCCTCCCTTACCCGCCACGACAACATCCACCCCACCCCACTAAACACACACACACATCAACACACCATCCATTAAAACACCCTCCCTTACCCGCCCCGACAACATCCACCCCACCCCACTAAACACACACACACATAAACACACCATCCATTAAAACACCCTCCCTTACCCGCCACGACAACATCCACCCCACCCCACTAAACACACACACACATCAACACACCATCCATTAAAACACCCTCCCTTACCCGCCCCGACAACATCCACCCCACCCCACTAAACACACACACACATAAACACACCATCCATTAAAACACCCTCCCTTACCCGCCCCGACAACATCCAACCCACCCCACTAAACACCAACACACATAAACACACCATGCATTAAAACACCTTCCCTTACCCGCCCCGACAACATCCAACCCACCCCACTAAACACACACACACATAAACCCACCATCCATTAAAACACCCTCCCTTACCCGCCCCGACAACATCCACCCCACCCCACTAAACACACACACACATAAACACACCATCCATTAAAACACCCTCCCTTACCCGCCCCGACAACATCCAACCCACCCCACTAAACACCAACACACATAAACACACCATGCATTAAAACACCTTCCCTTACCCGCCCCGACAACATCCAACCCACCCCACTAAACACACACACACATAAACCCACCATCCATTAAAACACCCTCCCTTACCCACTCCGACAACATCCACCCCACCCTACTAAACACACACACACATAAACACACCATCCATTAAAACACCCTCTTCTGAACACACTGCTACACTCACTGCAGCAGCCCAACAGGTGTGACCCCCCCCCCCCCCCCCCTCCTCCTCACCAGGTGAAGGTGGGCTGTGACTGGGTGATACAGCGTACGCCTGTCCCCGCTGCTATCAAGGCAGACGCCAGCAGACATGTCGGACGTAACCCTGAAATAACATTTAAAAAGATTTAACATGTATTAGTTCTCACCGGCCAGTACACCACAGCAGCACTGTGTCCTAGGGCTGGGACGGGTAACTCGGGTATTCGGGTCGGGTGGGTACTGAGTAGGGACCGGGTACCAACAGGACTATCCGGACCCGTGGTTAATCACGTGATATAATGCTTAATGCCAACATTACCTAGAACTCTATGGTTAAACTATAAGTGACTTATGTTTGCATTCCTTCTGACTTCATATGTTTGCATAAAGATAAAACTTCAGTCAACTTCAGTGTATGTATAACTAGATCGTTTTATACGTGTATCTAACTACATTTTGCAAGGGCTACAGTCAAACTATTCCAAGTCGGACATTTGGACCTATCTCTTGAGACCTACAGCGGGTACCCGGGTAAGGTCAGGTAATCGGGGGGGTGGGTACCTGGGTAGTAACTTTGGACTCGTCCCAGCCCTACAGTGTGTCCAGCATCATGGAGCAATAAGGCGTCCTCGAAATAATGCTTCAATTGAGTTGTGTTTATTGTTGTAGGTATACGTCGTATGTATCTACACGAGAGTGCATGTCAATACGTGGTCGACAGAACTAGTGAGTGAGTGAGTATGGTTTTACGCCGCTTTTAGCAATATTCCAGCAATATCACGACAGGGGACAACAGAAATGGGCTTCACACATTGTACCCATATCTGGAATTGAACCCGGGTCTTCACTGGGCTACCCCACCGCCCCATTGGTTTATGAAACTTCACAGAGTGATGGCCAAACATTGTATGAACTCCCACAAAGTGATAGTAAATTCCTATAATAGTTTTGTATAACTATCTTTTACCTCATTGATGTAGATGGTAACACTATGTTATGTAGTACTCAGTACGTCAGTCACAGTGACACCGCGTCGTAATACATTTACATCAAGAACAGGACGTCAAGATGGCCGATACGATAAACGTGACGGGAGAAATTTCCGAAATTGCTTGTGAACCTGTGGCGATTAGTGTTGATGATTGAACACGGATGGAGTCCATACTACGATATTTTACATTTGGATGTTTTCGCCTCTGTTCACTATGATGGGTCGTGGCGAAGATACACAGGAACAATGATGCATTGATGATCAGAAACAACGTTCCTGTGTGTATGCGTGCCAGGAATGTGGAAGTCGTCCGTCAGCGTTTACGTCATTCAAGAATACAGTCTCGTGAAAAACGTATGAACGTCAAATTGTGTCGTTCATAAGCTTATGTGACCGGCCTCTCGTCCAATGAAGAAGCCGTATATCGTGTAAACTTCACATTAAAAACATATGGTGTTTTCGGCTCAATTACACCCACACTTATCACAAGCACATACTGTTTATCTACTAAATAGTACCCTAAGTGCCAAAAACAAATACAGTAAACTAGTTATAACGAACTCAAAGGGACCACTAATTTTAGTTCGTTATAACCGTTGTTCGTAATAAGCATATATACAGCATATACACAGCAAATGGCTGAGACAACTAACAGTTCGTTATATCCGTCAGTTCGTTATAAGCGTGTTCGTAATAAACGTAGTTTACTGTACCTTTAGTGTCCAGTAACCAAGACCACGCTAGGCATGAAGGGAGAAACATGATTGGTCCCCAGTTGGCAAGTAACGCAATATCCGAGTCCGTCCAGCCATACATGCGTTCACTGGTCCTAGCTATAGGCCCCCATTGGTTCCAAACTCCGGCTTGTAGGCCCGCCATCAGGGAGAACAAGGCTAGGATGTACCATCGTCGTTTGTAGACCTGGCGTATAAACCACGGGCGCGGTTACTGCATGCACTGTGCCAACAGTGCTATTATGTGTAAAAACAATGAGTACTTTATGTTATTGGCGATATGGATGCCGTTGTACAAAACAACCTTAGCGCTACGACTGTCGTAAGTCTATGTTAAAGTATGGGAGTTACGATCACCTTAGCGCTACGATCGCTTTTTACATAGGCACCATGATAAACATAGTCGTATCGTGTCCCTGCACACTCTGTTTCATTCAAAGTTAGCTGAACTAAGACATTCTTTGGATTCCCTTAATGTGTTCTTTAATACGTGATCTCTTTACAAGTAAACACAATATCGATTAGTCGACCACAGCCCACGCTGTTGTAGTTCGGGGCATTACTACGTCGATATAAAGAGTTAATGCAGTTAATGTTGGAGTACTAAGTAAGGATAAGATATATGGATGAACTCCTAATTGTAATAAAGAAGTTGTTCATCCATACATCTTATCCTTACTTACTACGCAGTTCGAGTTAATTGCCGTTACATCTGAAATGCTGAAAATATTTCACTTTGCTTTTTGTCATAAAAGCGTATGTACTGAAACACACTATTCCACATGTCGGACAATGAGTGAGTGATTATGGTTTTACGCCGCTTTTAGCAATATTCCAGCAATATCACGGCAGGGGACAGGCGTGTCGGACAATAAGTGAGTGAGTATGGTTTTACGCCGCTTTAAGCAATATTCTAGCAATGCAAACACTAGGGATCAGAAGCATCTACCTTTATGTCAGGTGTTACATTCGGAGATGACGCTACTTCCTCCTTGGTAGGACTTTCCGTTTCATCAGTCGGGCTCTTGCCGACATGTGGAATCTCATTGGCTGCGACGTTGCTATCACTTGACTTCTCATTTGCTGCGACGTTGCTATCACGTGACTTCTCATTGGCTGGGCCCTGGTCGTTACGTGTGTTCGCATTGACTGGGACCTCGTCGTCATGTGTCTTCATGGTGGGGCTTACAACCTTTCATAAATAATTCAATGCGACCACTATAAGAACCATTACAGCAACTCCTATAGCAACCACTATAACAACTTCTACACCATTCACTATAACAACCTCTATAACAACCCCATTATAACCTCTATAACAACAGCTATAACAACAGCTATAATAACCTCTATAACAACCACTGTAACAACTGTAACAACCACAATAACAACCCATATAACAACCGCTATAACAACATATATAATAACAGCTATAGCAACCTCTATAACAAACTATGTAACAACAGCTATAACAACCACTACAACAACAGCTATAACAACCACAATAACAACCCATATAACAACCGCTATAACAACATATATAATAACAGCTATAGCAACCTCTATAACAACCTATGTAACAACAGCTATAACAACCACTCTAAGAACAGCTATAACAACCCCTATAATAACCTATATAACAACAGCTATAACAACAGCTATAGCAACCTTTGTAACAACAGCTATAACAACCACTATAACAACCACTATAAGAACAGCTATAACAACCCCTATAATAACCTATATAACAACAGCTATAACAACCTCTATAACAACAGCTATAACAACCCCTATAATAACCTCTATAACAACAGCTATAACAACCCCTATAATAACCTATATAACAACAGCTATAACAATCACTATAACAACCCCTATAATAACCTATATAACAACAGCTATAACAACCACTATAACAACCTCTATAAGAACAGCTATAACAACCCCTATAATAACCTATATAACAAAAGCTATAACAACAGCTTTAACAACCCCTATAATAACCTATAAAACAACAGCTATAACAACCTCTATAACAACAGCTATAGCAACCTATGTAACAACAGCTATAACAACCACTATAAGAACAGCTATAACAACTCCTATAATAACCTATATAACAACAGCTATAACAACAGCTATAACAACCCCTATAATAACCTATATAACAACAGCTATAACAACCACTATAACAACCCCTATAATAACCTATAAAACAACAGCTATAAAAACCTCTATAACAACAGCTATAGCAACCTATGTAACAACAGCTATAACAACCACTATAAGAACAGCTATAACAACCCCTATAAAAACCTATATAACAACAGCTATAACAACAGCTATAACAACCCCTATAATAACCTATATAACAACAGCTATAACAACCACTATAACAACCCCTATAATAACCTATATAACAACAGCTATAACAACCACTATAACAACCTCTATAAGAACAGCTATAACAACCCCTATAAAAACCTATATAACAACAGCTATAACAACAGCTATAACAACCTAACAACACTCAGACGCCATCCACTAAACGGGAATATCCCTCATGTCTGCAGGAACACCACAGGCTTCGGACGAGCCACAGAGGCAGCTGAATAAAAAGACACTTCAGCCCATCTCTGTACCCCCACGTGCCTATAGACAACAATAACACATAGAGCCAGCGACATATGTAGGTACTTCTCTTTGCGAACATCCACCTCAATTAACTCCCCTGTGCGTGCCGACAATTTTACACTACCACATATGTCGACAGCATACCCTACCTGGCAGTACTGACGCACCATGGGCGTTGTGATAGTAGTAGTAGTAGTAGTAGTAGTAGTAGTAGTAGTAGTAGTAGTGGTGGTGGTGGTGGTGGTGTAGGTGGTGGTGTCGGTGGTGGTAGCAGTAGTAGTAGCAGTGGTAGCAGTAGTAGTAGTAGTAGTAGTAGTAGTAGTAGTAGTAGTGGTGGTGGTGGTGGTGGTGGTGGTGGTGGTGTAGGTGGTGGTGTCGGTGGTGGTAGCAGTAGTAGTAGCAGTGGTAGCAGTAGTAGTAGTCGTGGTAGTAGTAGTAGTAGCTGAGGTAGTAGTACTAGTAGTAGTAGTAGTAGTAGTAGTAGTAGTAGTAGTAGTAGTAGTAGTAGTAGTGGTGGTGGTGGTGTAGGTGGTGGTGTCGGTGGTGGTAGCAGTAGTAGTAGCAGTAGTAGTAGTAGTAGTAGTAGCTGAGGTAGTAGTACTAGTAGTAGTAGTAGTAGTAGTAGTAGTAGTAGTTGTAGCAGCAGTAGTAGTAGTAGTAGTAGTAGCTGAGGTAGTAGTAGTCGTAGTAGTAGTAGTAGTAGTAGTAGTAGTAGCTGAGGTAGTAGTAGTTGTAATAGTTGTAGTAGTCGCGGGAGCACTTACTTAGTGTTAGTAGTAGTTGCGGTAGTCGTAACGGGATCGTAACTGCCTCCTGTCAACCTCATCTATTGGCCAGGACTGGGTGGTGGACGGGATCACCGTACACGATACTGTCCCGGGTAGCTGCACTCGTAGTCGGATTAGTCGTCGTAGTGGTAGTGACACGCAGCGGACTAACACAGTGTTCCATGCACTGGCATGACGCATACAGCCGTGGTGAGGCACCAGACACACATGTAGGGGGATATGTCGTTGGAAGCACTGGCAGTAGGTTCTCAAGTTACCGACCACTAAATACCTGTGCATCATAGACGTGTTGGCAGTAGGTTCTCAAGTTACCGACCACTAAATACCTGTGCATCATGGAAGTGTTGGCTGGTGGGGAGGGGGGCAGGTGCCTCGCGTGGACGCGCAGATATGGAGCGTCCCAGGGCCCACGTCCATACAGTCATCCCAGTATCTTGACCTATGTATATCATTGGGTCTGTTATTGTGTATAACATTTTGTCTATTAATGTGTCTATTATTGTGTATATCATTGTGTCTATTATTGTGTCCAGTATTGTGTATATCATTGTATCTATTATTGTATCCAGAATTATGTATATCATTGTATCTATCATTGTGTCAAGTATTATGTATTTCATTGTATCTAGTATTGTGTATATCATTGTATCTATTACTGTGTCTAATATTGTGTATATCACTGTTCCTATTATTGTGTCCAGTATTATGTATATCATTGTATCTATTATTGTGTCTAGTATTATGTTGTTCACTGTATCGAGTATTGTGTATATCATTGTGTCCAGTATTGTGTCCAGTATTATGTACATCATTGTGTCTAGTATAATGTATGTCAGTGTGTCTATTATAGTGTCTAGTATTGTTTTTATTATTGTGTTTATTATTGTGTCTATTATTTTGTCTAGTATTGCGTATATCATTGTATCTAGTATTGTGCATATCATTGTGTCTAGTATTGTGTATACCATTGTGTCTATCATTGTGTCTAGTATTATGTATATCATTGTGTCTATTATAGTGTCTAGTATTGTGTATATTATTGTGTCTAAACTTGTGTATATCATTGTGTCTAGTATTGTGTAGTTCATTGTGTCTAATATTGTGTCTAGTATAATGTATCTCAGTGTGTCTATTATAGTGTCTAGTATTGTGTTTATTAGTGTGTCTATTATTTTGTCTAGTATTGCGTATATCATTGTATCTAGTATTGTGCATATCATTGTGTCTAGTATTGTGTATATCATTGTTCCTATTATTGTATCCAGTATTATGTATATCCTTTATCTAGTGTTGTGTCTAGAATAATGTATATCATTGTGTCTAGTATCGTGTAGTTCACTGTGTCTATTATTGTGTCTAGTATAATGTATCTCAGTGTGTCTATTATAGTGTCTAGTATTGTGTTTATTAGTGTGTCTATTATTTTGTCTAGTATTGCGTATATCATTGTATCTAGTATTGTGCATATCATTGTGTCTAGTATTGTGTATATCATTGTTCCTATTATTGTATCCAGTATTATGAATATCCTTTATCTAGTGTTGTGTCTAGAATAATGTATATCATTGTGTCTAGTATCGTGTAGTTCACTGTGTCTATTATTGTGTCTAGTAAAATGTATGTCAGTGTGTCTATTATAGTGTCTAGTATTGTGTTTATTATTGTGTCTAGTATTTTGTCTAGTATTGCGTATATCATTGTATCTAGTATTGTGCATATCATTGTGTCTAGTATTGTGTATATCATTGTGTCTATTATTATGCCCTAGTATTAGGTATATCATTTTCTATTATTGCATCCTAGTATTATGTATATCATTGTATATATTATTGTATCCAGTATTATGTGTATCAATGTGTCTATTATTGTGTCCAGTGTAATGAATATCCGTGTATCTTTTATTGTGTCCAGTATTATGAATATCCTTGTATCTATTATTGTGTCTAGAATTGTGTCTAGAATTGTGTCTTGTATTGTGCATATCATTGTGTCTATTATTGTGTCTAGTATTATGTATATTATTGTGTCTAGCATTGTGTCTAGTATTATGTATATTATTGTTTCTAGCATTGTTTCCAGTATTTAGTATATCATTGTGTCTAGTATTGTGTCTAGTATTATGTATATTATTGTGTCTATTGTTGTGCTTAGTATTAGGTATAGCATTGTGCCTATCATTGTGTGACCCGTGAAGATTCCGGGGTAGAATAGGTCTTCAGCAACCCATGCTTGCCGTAATAGGTGACTATGCTTGTCGTAAAAGGCGACTAACGGGATCGGGTGGTCAGGCTCGCTGACTTGGTTGATGCATGTCATCAATCCCAATCGCGTGGATTGATGCTCATGATATTAATCACTGGATTGTCTGGTCCAGACTCGATTATTTACAGACCGCCGTCATATAGCTGGAATATTGCTGAGTGCGGCGTTAAACAGCAAACCAACCAACCATCAAACTATCATTGTGTTCAGTATTGTGTATTTTTGAGACTATTTAATTATGTCTAGTTTAGTTATATATTATTGTGTCCAGTATTGGGTCCAGGATTCTAGTTGTGCTTTCTCTATGGTCAGCTGCAGATCAGCGGCCGCGGGGGGATAAGAGGAAATCAATAAACAGAAAAACTATACACGTGTTTGAGAATACAACTGCAACTGGTGGTGGTGGTTGTGGTAGCAATAGTAGTAGAGAATACAACTGCAACTGGTGGTGGTGGTGGTGATAGCAGTAGTAGTAGAGAATACAACTGCAACTGGTGGTGGTGGTGGTGGTGGTGGTGGTGGTGGTGGTAGCAGTAGTAGTAGAGAATACAACTGCAACTGGTGGTGGTGGTGGTGGTGGTGGTAGCAGTAGTAGTAGAGAATACAACTGCAACTGGTGGTGGTGGTGGTGGTGGTAGCAGTAGTAGTAGAGAATACAACTGCAACTGGTGGTGGTGGTGGTGGTGGTGGTAGCAGTAGTAGTAGAGAATACAACTGCAACTGGTGGCGGTGGTGGTGGTGGTGGTGGTAGCAGTAGTAGTAGAGAATACAACTGCAACTGGTGGTGGTGGTGGTGGTAGCAGTAGTAGTAGAGAATACAACTGCAACTGGTGGTGGTGGTGGTGGTGGTGGTGGTGGTAGCAGTAGTAGTAGAGAATACAACTGCAACTGGTGGCGGTGGTGGTGGTGGTGGTGGTGGTAGCAGTAGTAGTAGAGAATACAACTGCAACTGGTGGTGGTGGTGGTGGTGGTGGTAGCAGTAGTAGTAGAGAATACAACTGCAACTGGTGGTGGTGGTGGTGGTGGTGGTAGCAGTAGTAGTAGAGAATACAGCTGCAACTGGTGGTGGTGGTGGTGGTGGTGGTAGCAGTAGTAGTAGAGAATACAACTGCAACTGGTGGTGGTGGTGGTGGTGGTGGTGGTAGCAGTAGCAGTAGAGAATACAACTGCAACTGGTGGTGGTGGTGGTGGTGGTGGTGGTGGTAGCAGTAGTAGTAGAGAATACAACTGCAACTGGTGGTGGTGGTGGTGGTGGTGGTGGTAGCAGTAGTAGTAGAGAATACAACTGCAACTGGTGGTGGTGGTGGTGGTGGTGGTAGCAGTAGTAGTAGAGAATACAACTGCAACTGGTGGTGGTGGTGGTGGTGGTGGTAGCAGTAGTAGTAGAGAATACAACTGCAACTGGTGGTGGTGGTGGTGGTGGTGGTGGTAGCAGTAGTAGTAGAGAATACAACTGCAACTGGTGGTGGTGGTGGTGGTGGTGGTGGTAGCAGTAGTAGTAGAGAATACAACTGCAACTGGTGGTGGTGGTGGTGGTGGTGGTGGTAGCAGTAGTAGTAGAGAATACAACTGCAACTGGTGGTGGTGGTGGTGGTGGTGGTGGTGGTGGTAGCAGTAGTAGTAGAGAATACAACTGCAACTGGTGGTGGTGGTGGTGGTGGTGGTAGCAGTAGTAGTAGAGAATACAACTGCAACTGGTGGTGGTGGTGGTGGTGGTAGCAGTAGTAGTAGAGAATACAACTGCAACTGGTGGCAGTGGTGGTGGTGGTGGTGGTGGTAGCAGTAGTAGTAGAGAATACAACTGCAACTGGTGGTGGTGGTGGTGGTAGCAGTAATAGTAGAGAATACAACTGCAACTGGTGGTGGTGGTGGTGGTGGTGGTGGTGGTGGTGGTGGTGGTGGTGGTAGCAGTAGTAGTAGAGAATACAACTGCAACTGGTGGTGGTGGTGGTGGTGGTGGTAGCAGTAGTAGTAGAGAATACAACTGCAACTGGTGGTGGTGGTGGTGGTGGTGGTAGCAGTAGTAGTAGAGAATACAACTGCAACTGGTGGTGGTGGTGGTGGTGGTGGTGGTGGTGGTAGCAGTAGTAGTAGAGAATACAACTGCAACTGGTGGCGGCGGTGGTGGTGGTGGTGGTGGTGGTGGTAGCAGTAGTAGTAGAGAATACAACTGCAACTGGTGGTGGTGGTGGTGGTAGCAGTAGTAGTAGAGAATACAACTGCAACTGGTGGTGGTGGTGGTGGTGGTGGTAGCAGTAGTAGTAGAGAATACAACTGCAACTGGTGGTGGTGGTGGTGGTAGCAGTAGTAGTAGAGAATACAACTGCAACTGGTGGTGGTGGTGGTGGTGGTGGTGGTGGTGGTGGTGGTGGTAGCAGTAGTAGTAGAGAATACAACTGCAACTGGTGGTGGTGGTGGTGGTGGTGGTAGCAGTAGTAGTAGAGAATACAACTGCAACTGGTGGCGGTGGTGGTGGTGGTGGTGGTGGTGGTGGTGGTAGCAGTAGTAGTAGAGAATACAACTGCAACTGGTGGTGGTGGTGGTGGTGGTGGTAGCAGTAGTAGTAGAGAATACAACTGCAACTGGTGGTGGTGGTGGTGGTGGTGGTAGCAGTAGTAGTAGAGAATACAACTGCAACTGGTGGTGGTGGTGGTGGTGGTGGTGGTAGCAGTAGTAGTAGAGAATACAACTGCAACTGGTGGCGGTGGTGGCGGTGGTGGTGGTGGTAGCAGTAGTAGTAGAGAATACAACTGCAACTGGTGGTGGTGGTGGTGGTGGTGGTAGCAGTAGTAGTAGAGAATACAACTGCAACTTGTGGTGGTGGTGGTGGTAGCAGTAGTAGTAGAGAATACAACTGCAACTGGTGGTGGTGGTGGTGGTGGTGGTGGTAGCAGTAGTAGTAGAGAATACAACTGCAACTGGTGGTGGTGGTGGTGGTGGTGGTGGTAGCAGTAGTAGTAGAGAATACAACTGCAACTGGTGGTGGTGGTGGTGGTAGCAGTAATAGTAGAGAATACAACTGCAACTGGTGGTGGTGGTGGTGGTGGTGGTGGTAGCAGTAGTAGTAGAGAATACAACTGCAACTGGTGGTGGTGGTGGTGGTGGTGGTAGCAGTAGTAGTAGAGAATACAACTGCAACTGGTGGTGGTGGTGGTGGTGGTGGTGGTAGCAGTAGTAGTAGAGAATACAACTGCAACTGGTGGCGGTGGTGGCGGTGGTGGTGGTGGTAGCAGTAGTAGTAGAGAATACAACTGCAACTGGTGGTGGTGGTGGTGGTGGTGGTAGCAGTAGTAGTAGAGAATACAACTGCAACTGGTGGTGGTGGTGGTGGTGGTGGTGGTAGCAGTAGTAGTAGAGAATACAACTGCAACTGGTGGCGGTGGTGGTGGTGGTGGTGGTGGTAGCAGTAGTAGTAGAGAATACAACTGCAACTGGTGGTGGTGGTAGCAGTAGTAGTAGAGAATACAACTGCAACTGGTGGTGGTGGTGGTGGTGGTGGTAGCAGTAGTAGTAGAGAATACAACTGCAACGAAACTGTTGTCTCTTAAGATATTTTGCTAAAAAGACCCCCAAACATTTTGCGTCGTAATAGGTAACCGCTTAAAACGTTTTCCAAGATGCGGCACATGTGACGTAAACTCATGACATCGTCACTGTATTCGGTACTGAAGAACTTGTTTTAGCGGTGTTGAGTGGCTGCTTCCACTCTCTCCCAACCCTCGCAAAGGGATGCTGTGGTCAGTCCCCATGCAGCAGGCTTGCAGTGCACTCTCCGGAGTTACCTCCCTTCTATCATCGCTTTGCTTCTATATGTCGGTGCAGAAGCATACGAGTCTTAGAAGCATCTTTTGAGTGTCATTGAACATCCAGGAGCTAGAGACTTGAGTCTATAGAAAAGTATTTTTGTCTTTATTATTATTTTGTATTTGTTGCTGCATGCATACACACATACCCGTGAAGATCCGGGTTAGAATTCGCTGAGATGCACGGCAACCAATCCTTGTCGAAACAGGCGACTATGCTTGTCGTAACAGGCGACTATGCTTGTCGTAAGAGGGATTGGGTGGTCAGGCTCGCTGACTTTGTTCATGCATGCCATCGTATCCCAATTGCGTTGATCGATACACATGGTGTCCATCACTGGATTGTCTGATCCAGACTCGATTGGAATATTAGAATAAAATCAGTATAAGTCCGGACTAGTACAGGCAGACACACGCACACGTGAATGCACGTCGCTATATAAGTTTTGGTTTGGTTTGGTTTGGTTTGTTGTTTTACGCCGCACTCAGCAATATTCCAGCTATATGACGGCGGTCTGTAAATAATCGAGTCTGGACCAGACAATCCAGTGATTGATATCATGAGCATCGATCCACGCATTTGGGATCGAAGACATGCTTCAACCAAGTCAGCGAGCCTGACCACCCGATCCCGTTAGTCGCCTCTTACGACATAGCATAGAAACGGTCGCTATATAAGAACAATATAAGTACAATGATCTTGGACGCAACGTTAAACCTCACCTCACCTTATATAATATCGTATATGACCACCAATGCATTAACACTGTCGCACAGGTGTAGCTTTAGAGAACACGTTAACAGTGTCGTACAGGTGTAGCTTTAGAGAACACGTTAACACTGTCTTACAAGTGTACCTTTGTAGAACACGTTAACTCTGTCTTACAAGTGTACCTTTGTAAAACACGTTAACAGTGTCGCACAGGTGTAGCTTTAGAGAACACGTTAACACTGTCTTACAAGTGTAACTTTGTAGAACACGTTAACAGTGTCGCACAGGTGTAGCTTTAGAGAACACGTTAACACTGTCTTACAAGTGTACCTTTGTAGAACACGTTAACACTGTCGCACATGTGTAGCTTTAGAGAACACGTTAACTCTGTCTTACAAGTGTACCTTTGTAGAACACGTTAACAGTGTCGCACAGGTGTAGCTTTAGAGAACACGTTAACACTGTCTTACAAGTGTACCTTTGTAGAACACGTTAACACTGTCGCACAGGTGTAGCTTTAGAGAACACGTTAACTCTGTCTTACAAGTGTACCTTTGTAGAACACGTTAACAGTGTCGCACAGGTGTAGCTTTAGAGAACACGTTAACACTGTCTTACAAGTGTACCTTTGTAGAACACGTTAACAGTGTCGCACAGGTGTAGCTTTCAAGAACACGTTAACACTGTCTTACAAGTGTACCTTTGTAGAACACGTTAACAGTGTCGCACAGGTGTAGCTTTAGAGAACACGTTAACACTGTCTTACAAGTGTAGCTTCGTAGAACACGTTACCAGTGTCGTACAGGTGTAGCTTTAGAGAACACGTTAACACTGTCTTACAAATGTAACTTTGTAGAACACGTTACCAGTGTCGCACAGGTGTAGCTTTAGAGAACACGTTAACACTGTCTTACAAGTGTACCTTTGTAGAACACGTTAACAGTGTTGTACAGGTGTAGCTTTAGAGAACACGTTAACTCTGTCTTACAAGTGTACCTTTGTAGAACACGTTAACAGTGTTGTACAGGTGTAGCTTTAGAGAACACGTTAACACTGTCTTACAATTGTAACTTTGTAGAACACGTTACCAGTGTCGTACAGGTGTAACTTTCGAAAACACGTTAACTCTGTCTTACAAGTGTAACTTTGTAGAACACGTTAACAGTGTTGTACAGGTGTAGCTTTAGGGAACACGTTAACACTGTCTTACAAGTGTACCTTTGTAGAACACGTTAACAGTGTTGTACAGGTGTAGCTTTAGGGAACACGTTAACAGTGTCGTACAGGTAACTTCATAGAACACATTAACTCTGTCTTACAGGTGTAGTTTTAGAGAACACGTTAACAGTGTCGTACAGGGGGTAGCGGGGCCATCGAGGGGTTGCGGGGGTAGCTTGGGTAGAGGACATAGCTGGGGTAGAGGGGATAGCTTGGCTAGCGGGGATAGCTGGGGTAGCGGGGATTGCTGGGGTAGAGGGGATAGCAGGGGTTAGCTGGGGTAGCGGGGATAGCTGGGGTAGAGGGATAGCTGGGGTAGAGGGGATAGCAGGGGTTGCGGGGTTAGCTGGGGTAGCGGGGATAGCTTGGGTAGAGGGGATAGCTTGGGTAGCGGGGATAGTTGGGGTAGCGGGGGTATCGAAGGGTAGCGGGGATAGCTGGGGTAGCGGGGGTATCGAGGGGTAGCGGGGGTAGCGAGGGGTAACAATATGGTGTTAAGGGGTGGCAGTCTTAAATGTCTTCATCTTGTATTGGCTGGTGCAGACTAAAGGTTTTTGTACAGATCAAACAAATATTTATTCTTGAATAATTTAGTTTTGTTTCGCGCGAATATGTGTGCGGGCCATTGATCTTGGCCAAAACAAAGATTAACCCCTGGCACTATTTTTTATGTTTGAAAAACTGTTTTGGGTTGTTTTTTTCGTTGAGTGTGTGTGTGAGTTATATAATTCTGATATATCAAACTTTGGGATACAATTCCAGTATAAGAAAAATATATTTGACTATTTCTGAGGGAAATTTAATTGTAATTAAAGTCAGAGCTTAATAGGAACAAATTTAAAATTTCTGGTTTGACTAACTTGCGGTGAATCATATACATTGTATAGCGGACACACCTTTTCCTGTCTCAACCACATGGACAGTTTCAAAGTTTCACATTTCCAGTACTTTAAGCGGAATTCCAAAGCAGTGTTTCCCAGGAAGTTAATTGTTTATTTATTAACTAAGTTGCTTGGATTACTGTTGTGTCATGCCTCTTATGCATTGTAAAACTCGTGTGATATGCCAAGGTTGTATTTTCATCCCTAGCGTAACCTCATTACCTTATTTCCTTCATGGGAATGGGCCTGACGTAGGAGGTAGAATAGGTTGGTCAGTCCAACGAACGGGCAATGTTATAGATTTATTAGCACATTATTTTGCTCAGTGATGTATATCGTATACGATAACAAATTGTTCTATTGTTTTTTATATCTGATTAGATCATTGTAAAACTGAGTTGTATCATATTTATCATATGTTCACCCCTCCGGTGAAATGAACCGAGCCTTCTTCCGATGAACAAAGTACATTGTCAGTGCATTCACGGAAATAAAGAGTACGGTGTTGAAGTACAGCTGCCCTTCGCTCTATTTTGATACAATCACTTCTGATATTTTTCTGCTTGGGGGCTAAAAGGATTTCGATGTGATGAGCTATTTTCTATAATGAAAATACTCTTAATATTAATAAAGGTCATAAAACGACATTTTCCACGATAATCAGCACGCGTCATCGCCCAGACGAATGACGTCAACGCAAAAATATGGACCAATCAAAAGCTCCCAAACGTCACTCCCGCGTAGGAATATCTAAAATTGCTCAAGTGCTGAGGCTTGTTGTTGAAGCTTGTGACGCTGATCGTGTATTTTGACGTGGCCACTACGTATCCTGCAAATTTATCCACTCCGATTGCGGCAAAGTTGGTGACGAAAAGTACGTAACCGGTAAGTACTCACAACAATCAAACGTGTTGTCGTGCGGGAATCACGAAAAATTGGCGCAGTTTGCTTCGACCATGACACAGAGAACAACATTCCAGAGGTTGTCAGCCACATTTTGTAGATCTGTTGAAGCCATGTCTGCATTTTAGTCAGCGACTCAAGACTTTTTCCGGGGTTTTCCCTTGTGTTGTCCCGTTTCACTCCTTTGATGACGAAGTCACCACGGGGTTACCCCTTTCATCAGATGTTACCTCTAGTCTTCCCGAGTTTATTCCGTCAGCCATGAGGAACTCCTTAAACACTAATCCGTTGGTAAATTGAAACATTTTCTCTCGGTAGCCATGCTGACAGACTTGAAATGAAAATCGAGGTCAGTCGTGGGTGATTGGATGTTGATTTGTTGTTGACCCGAGTAGCTTGTACACTTGTTGTTCTGTTTTCACTGCTTGATTTTTTTTATCACTTTGTGTGTTTAATTAAGCTGTGGAATCATTAGTCTTTTGAAAAGAAATTGCCTGTTATGGTTTTTCGCGTTGAAACAATCTAGGCTAGATGGGATTTAGAACATTATTTGATAGACAGGTAGACCCCACATTTTGCTTAGAACTCTGCAAATTCATTCATTTAAATGCCAAATCGTTTAGATAATTTTGTTTTTGATAAATTGTAGTAGAACATTACAACCGAAAGCTATTAGCCTACAGGTTTGAGGAAACAGTTTCATTGAGGATTTCCTTTTAGTAACAAGCAATCTGCTAAAGAAGCAGTACTAGATACAGCACTTGGGTTCATTTTGACCCGATATTTTTGCCCAGCCAGGGTTCACATATCAGCATAAACTTGTTGAAAATCTATGAAACTGGATAAAATGGAATTATTACTGCAAACTACTGTTAACATTATTAAGTACAATTAAATTGCATCTTGATTAACATTCTGTTGGTGTTTTTTTAATGCTTATGTTCAGATTAAATGTTGGTACATGTGAAATGACAAGATCAATGTTGATTTCAATATGATAATGAGTGGAATTCTTTAGAATGTTTGGAATTCGTCACCACAAATGCACGTGATGATGATCTCTGTGTGTAGGTCACTATTCACTGAGAAAAGCAGCCTGTTTTGCAAGATAACAATGATAATTACTGAATCCAAAAAACAATATTTGTGTATATTAGTTCCCATTTATTATAATTATATCAATGGTATTGTTGTGTGTTGGTATACTTTGTGGTGCTGAATTCCAAAGGTTGAATGTTTGTATGAGAAAATTATCCGAATATGCATAAGTGATTTCTGTAATTTGGCATGGATCATATTTGGTTGACTTTAAGCTTGAGTTCTGATGTGATGTCATTGTCAGCATTATTTCATTGTGCCAACTGCTTGTGTGGATTCGTGGGATGAATAGTGGTCCCCAGCACCCTGTGCTTGTTGCAAGAGGTGACTAAATGAATCAGTTAGTGAGACTTAATGACTTGGTTGATTGCCTGACTTCATTGTTTGCCAATTGCGTGAATCGATGCTCATGATGTCAATCACTGGTTCGGATGGTCCAGGTTTGATTATTTACATCATGTAGCTGGAATATTGATTTGGGTGGTGTTAAACAACAAAGAAACAAATATTATTCTAACACATGAAAATGTGAGGTAGAATAAAGGCCCCTTTTTCCCATTTGAAAATTTTAAATTTTAAGTTGCAAAAGACTTTGAAATAAGGGTACAAAAGTTATCGAACATGTTAATGTTTGACAAGTAGCCTCGTTTCTTTCTTACAATTCAATTCCTGTTATATTTTTTTTTAAAAATGCAGTCAATGTTTGTGATTTCTGCAACCGAATTTTGTTTATTCTGAACACAATTCTGCAAACTGTTACGCTTATTTTTCATAAATTTCATAGTTTTGCACCTCTTTAACATGTGACAGACATTTTTATTATAAACTTATACACGTCTAGAATAGCTTATTGAAGTGAATCTGGAGATCACTATTGTAACCCTGCAGACATGCAATACCACCAAAGTCAAATTCACTTCAAAAGGAAATAAATATCTATGTACATGTTTAAAAACCAGCTTTTGACCTACATGTTAAAATTCTGCAGAGTATTTGATAGATTCTGCAGCAGAGAAATTCAAAATTCTGTATGAGTTCCCCTCAAAATGTAATTTTCTGCAAGATAGGTACATTTCTGCATAATACTGCATGACCACGGAATCTGCAGAGGCTGATGCTAGCAAGTCTTGGACACTTGTCATGATTGAAACAACAAATATGGCAAGAAAGATCCAGTGTTTCCTTCCTCCGGCATATAACATATTGACTGGTAAAATATGACTGGTACCAGTACATTTGAGGGCTGATGGTCCCAGTGTCTGGTAAAACCAAAATTCTAATGACGATGGACTGTTCTGACATGACAACAAGTCGGTAGCTTTAATGATGTCACACCTCTCGTTATAACGTAACATATCATTATCAATACTGCTGTTTCAAATAAGGGCATTGTACATAGTATATCTTTTATTAGTGATCATGGGACCTGTAAATTAAGGCCAGGACCAATATTTTCATTTGCTACTGGCCCACATGACCGGCAGATTAAAATGCCACCTGGAAACACTGGGATCTGAGTGTTCGAAAACAGTCTGCAACCTATGTCGCAAGTTTCTAATAAATCAGTAGGCCGCTTGTATACACAACATTCCTGTATTACCTGTGAATGCACGGGACCATAGTAATATCAACGGTTTATGTGTCTGGTGGCACATGTACAAATCTTTTGCCAACTAATAAGTGTTTTATTCATTTGTTTGTTGTTAAACGCTCACTCCAAAATCCAGCTATGGGGATGTCTGAAAAATTCAGAGTCTAAATATGAAGGATGTATGTTATTGTATGGTACACCCTTAAAAGTTTGCATGTATTAAGTAAAATAAGTTACAGGCTGCCATTTGAACCCAATACAAAACTGGATAGCATATTTCTGCAGGCATCAAAGGGACTAGGTATTCTCTGTTGATGGAAATGGACCAACATTTCTCTGGCTTTCTTCAAGTATCTCTAACTCCAATAGTCATCCATGCGGACATGCTGTCAACTGTAGGGGATGATGCTCCTTCCTTTGTCACTGTTTAGAGGTGGGCAGCAGAGTTCGAGAGGTAAGGAGGGAGCCTCGATGATGATCCAGATCGGGAAGACCTTCAACTCACACAATTAAGAAAAATGTTGATAACATACTTGGTATGATTATGGATGACTTAAACACACACGTGACATCACATAGCCAACATAGTAGGCATCTCTCATGGGAAAACTTGGAACTTTCTGAGGATTGAATTTGGTATGAGAAAGGTTGCAGCATGCTTGGCACCACAACTTCTGACTCCTGATCAGAAAGGTCCTGAGATCAACAACCACCAGAGCAATAGAAGCATCTGACATCTCTGACAAAGAGGGCAAAGTCCATCAGCTGGCAAGGTGGGCTTTTAAGGAAAACTTTCTGGTAGACTACATCCTGAAAGGTCAGAGTATTAATGGCCAATATCATGGTAATCTGCTTGAGCAACTGTGTGAAAATACCAAGGCTAGACATGGTGGAAAACGCACTAAAGGTGTTTTGTTCAAGTACAAGTATGTTGTCACCATGGCTTTGAACCCATTACACATCCTCCATATTCACCAGATTAGGCACCATCAGATTTACATCTCTTCCCAAACTTGAAGAAAGAACTGTCTGGCAAGCGTTAAGCAAATGGTGATGTCATTCTGCTGTGGAGGACTCTTTTCAACACCAGGAGGAAGCCTTCTACGCAAGTGGGATCCAGATCTTTACAGCCACCCCTTGTATATGGTTTTTTATGGACTTTAGAAGGAATTATTTGCATGTACAATTATTAGCAGACATGTTTTCCAATATCAGCTGTTATTTATTTTGGTGTCTACAGATGTGTAGCAATAGAATTTAGTTGCCACAAGATATTTTTCTAGGTAGTCATTGGCTACCTCTCAAATTTAGACAGTAGACAAACTGAAATTTAGGTTGCATTGGCTACCGTTTTAGTCACAACTTTGAGGCCTTTTAAGTAACTGCATTTTCTTTGCACCTATGGGAAAAGTACTTTCTATTCGTTGTTGGTGATTTTTGTGTCTGCTTAATTTACACAGTGCAGTATTTAAGTGACTGCAGCATTTAGTCCAGCTTTCGCTCAATTGAAGATAGCATAAAACTTCAACATCCAACATGTCTTAAAAGTTTGCTTGCACACCAATTTCATCATGAAAGGTTACCTAATATCTTGAATATTTAGCAAGTGATCATACAAGACGCTTGTGCACATCTACAATAGTATGAGTTGTCCTCTTAAGTTTTCTTTCTTTGCCAAGTCGATACTGCTGGAAATGTTTCAAGAGCCATTTGTGACATGGAGCAATGATTAAATGCTTATCTAAATATAAGCTGTTTTCTATTCATATTGCCATGATAAAATGACATTTGTATGTGGTGCGATAATTTTGATCCAATGTTCTATATCAACCCACCATCATTTTTGATAGGACTAATTTGTTGGTTTCTATTTCAGATATGTCTGAAGGCAATGCTCAAGGAGATCTAGAAAATGGTTCACAAGGTATATCAGTAGTTCATGTGACTATTCCCAACCAGCCTGTCCAAGTCCAGTCTGTGATACAGTCCAACCAACACTCCGTCATTCAGTCTGCTGGCAGTACTGGCAATGTCCAGACCATTCAAGTTGTCAGAGTAAGTGCACTTTTTTTATTCATTGCAGTTTCCAATGATGGAATAAGATATCCAATTATTTTATTAAACATACCTTATCATGATACCTGTCTAATTCATTAAAAGTCTGATCTTAATTTTCTTACTCTTGAATGAGAAAAACAAAATAGAAATATATGCTGAAAACTTACTGAGACTTGGTCAACTTGTATATGAACAACATGTTGTTGAAACAACCATTTTTTCATCCATTAGATTATTCTGCCTTAAATAAGGAATGCAGTAAACTGTTCTAGCCTAAATAACATTAACTAGCCTGAGTAGCTATCACATATAAGGACACCCCTAAAACCTCTGAAACTAGACTAGCCCTCAGGATTCCTTTAGTTTAACATCAAACAAACTGACCTGGCTTGTGCCAGTTTTTTCTCCCTGCCAGAATGTTTTATTCTGTCATGAGTTTAGGAGATTAATTTTTTTCAGACTAAGGGTTTTCTTAGCATGTATAAATAATGCTACTTTTTTGACAAATCTAAAAAATTAAGATGATAAACAGTATTTAAAATGCCCATATGGGGCCCCACATATTACATTAGCTGATGGCTGCCATAACTTTATCAAATTGTTGAAAATCAAAACATTGTTTTGCAGTGTACTGTTATATTGTAACTAATGTATAACTTCTCGTCATGATATGGATGAAATATTGCCGATGTGACTTTAAATTTTAACTCACTTTCTGTAAATAATCAATTCCTGCAGGTTGCTGCTGTTGATGATGAACTATCTTCAGATGACTCAGATGCCAAAAAAAGGAGAGAGATCCTAGCAAGACGACCATCATACAGGTGATTTGGCATATTCACCACACTTCTGTATTGTCTAATATCAGACTGTTTGAAATTAATTGAGTCTAGGGATACTTGTAATTCAGATTCAGGCATCCATGAATTAAATAATTGAAGCAAAAATGTTTAGAACCCCCAAACACATGGTACAAGTCAGGAGGTTTCTTTAAAGAATAACCAGGGGCACTGGTCTTGAGTCCAGATGCCAAATTGTCGTTGTTAGTTTGTCAGCACCAATTCCATCCTTATTTGTTTCACCAGAGTGGAAAATGTCAAGCTATCCCTTTCTCCTCTATCAACTTGTCACAATGCTGTTTCAAGGTGTTGTGAAACCCACTTCACAGACTCATAACAAAAGTAACCAGAACTAAATCTACCCACCAGATATCAAGGCTCAAACATGTACACAGAAATACAGATTTCCAATGTATTTTTACAGTCAATAATTGTTTGTAAATGGTGAAAGGCTTTCAGATTCATCTATGAATTTCCAAGACCTAAGAAACATTGATATGATGAGTCAACACATTGTGATTCAGATTTGTAATAATAAAGTCAAATTTAATTTTTTGAAATGGTAAACTTCAGGTATGAATCTCCCTCTTGCAAAACCAGTCTGCGACTTTATCCACTAATCTTAAGCCCAGGGTTTTACCTTGACTTACAAAAGTGGGGGTTCAGGGGACCCCCAATAATTAATTTTCATTTTCATAAGGCATTATGAGGTCCTGTAAAAAATTAAATGGTGTCGTGTACTGTACATTTAGGTAATTACTTTAGAGCCTAGAATGATTCAATGATCATGTGGACAGTGGTCATGATTGATGGGTGAAATAACATGACCCATGACTGCTCTTGATGCGCTGTATTTTCAATAAATGTTACTGTGCGTCCCTCAAGACGTAGTATAATCTTTTTCTACGTCCATTATCTACATTTTTATGTGTACTGGACGCAATTTTGACACAGACTGCAAACCCAATGATAGAAACTAACTCTATTAGTCCACTAGCGCTTAAAAAGGGCAAATTTTAACTAGTCCTTATGAAACCTTATCTATTGGGCAGTTTGACAAGGACTATAGGACTAGTGCCAATTTCTAAAGCTGCAAACCACAAGAGCTAGAGACTTATAGGTTTATGGTGTCAAGGATCCTAAGCATGGTAATATGTCTAAGATTGCTAGAATTAAAAAAAAACTTTAAAATTTGTATAATTGAAAAGAATATTCTTCAATTGTTGAAAATGGCAACTTTAAGCATCATATTCTTACATGGTAAACGGTGCTGGAAGCTAGTGTTGTGGTGGCATTTAGCTCTACTACCATGACATTGAGATACAGATGTAATTATGGCTTTTAGATTAAAGAAGTCTTTTTCTAAAGTTTGACAATTTGTATGTCCCTGGTTAACAGCAGTATCTTCATGCTTTATATTTTTTCAGACCTTTTTGTAATATGGGCCTTCATCTATAAAGTGCCCCGAAGTCAAAATACAAACACATTTTAAAGATAAGATTTGGCTTTGTTGCAGAAAGATCTTGAATGACTTATCATCACCTGTGTCTAAGATGGATGATGAATCTAATGACAGTCAGAGCCAGGATGGCCAAGAGAGTAATGAGGCAGCCCAGAATCTCACCAGTTCAGCCAACGCTGTGCAGTACCAACAAGCTACAGGTATGCTCACTGTCAAGGAGTACTCACTCATTAGTGATAAATTGCCAATTCTTTAAGTGAGATGTATGCCTCAACGTACCTACCTAAATTGGTTGCATCATAAGTGATGTTAATTTCATTTGGTTGACTGTGTCATTTTTATTGTTGTGCAATAATTGACCAACATATCAGATACGTTTTAGAGGAAACCAATGCAGAAACAACTCAGGTTGCACAAATAACAAAGATCACACCAGCTAACAACTATAACTATATATCTATAACTATCTCCTCTCTGACAAAAGGGGCCGCCTCCATGATCTAGTGGCAGAGCGTCCGCCTGAAGAGCGGAAGGTTAGGGGGTCGATGCCCGGCCGCGACATACCAAAAGACATTAAGATGGACGTTACTCGTTGTTTTCCTGTCTGTTGCTAGACATTAAGGGGCCAAAACAAGGACTGGTCGACTTGGAGTCAGTATACTGTGTCTGAGTGGGGTATTCATGTTAAACTGAGTCATGGGGTTAGTACAAATTCCTCCAGGCTTGTACAAATTTCCAAATTTCCCCATTGTTTAAACATGTTCCTTTTTTGCCATATCATAAAAGAAAATGACCTTGATTCAACCACTTTCCCTGGGAAATTGCTGGACTGACACTGGAAGACAAAATTTGACATCATATTGTGTTGAAATAGTGATTTGGGGGTTAGTTTTTCCTTTGTTAATTTTTTTTTTAAATGAAACCTATTTAAGTTTTGCCATGGCTTTAGGATTAGCAGTGAACTTTTGTGCCACAGACAATCTTTTAGTTTGTCTTTAGCAGTGATTAGCCTTTTTCACAGATTGTGTTCCACCAAATGTTTTATTATTGTAGCCATTTAGCATACCGGGTATCATGTAATGTGTTGTTCAGCTAAAATCACTGTGATCAGGTGAACAGTTCAGCCTTTTGGTGAAATAGAGCCATGGCCTTTCATGGCATTATGACATTCTGTGATTTTCATGACTCGTAAGCCACGATGCAGCATGGATGCACAGAGAGTGATGGTTATTGTTTGTTTCAGTTGTTCCTGCTGGGGCCATCCAGATCACGACTCACCCAGATGGCACACCCGTGTCCCAGGGACTCCAGACATTGACAATGTCAAATGCCAGTCCCTCGACAGGGGCTCAGGGAGCTACTATTGTTCAGTATGCACAGGGGCCTGATGGGCAGTTCTATATACCGGGTACTGGTGAGGTTTATTTTGTAGATAGTTATTTCTTTATGATACAATTGTCACTTTTTATTTATGTTTTTACTGTTGTGAAGTTATTTGTACCACCCTCCGAAACCCCTGTCTTTTACAGTTTTATAAGTTAACATGAATCTGCTTGTCTGAGACAAGTAAAATTCAAGAGGGACTAGTCATATTTCCTTGAGGACTTTTCTTGTCACTTTCACCATTTCATGGATGACTGTACCAGGTCATTTTTAGTTCCCGACAGAAAGTCAAGTGAACTTTTGCCGTGGCCTATTTGCCAGTCATTTGTTGTGCATTGTGTGTCATAAACATCTCCTCATGATTGTGTACTCTTGTATTTACAGAGCTACAGATAAGCAGCGTATTTGTTAATACCCCCAAAACATATTCAAAACCCAATTACTTTCAATCAACTTTTAACAGAAACTCATGCATTAAATAAAAAACTCAAATGTATTTAAGCTTTTTCAGCATGCATACAAAGGAGCTAATTTCCAAAACACAATTACGAGCTAATTTACTTTCCGAGTCAAGCCTATATATTGCGAACAATTATATATATCTAAAACATTATTTTATTTTTGTAAAATCTTAGAATATTCACTAAGTTTGGGAAAAACCTAAAAGAGTGATGAATAGATGAGTGAAAAGATATATTGGTTACCCAATGAAAAATCTTATAACTCAATTAAAATAGAAACCCTAGAGTAAAAACTCAGTTGCTAAAAATGTTAATTGAGCTCTGATTTATTTATTAATTTGGGCCTGCAATCTTAAATATGGGCTGGTTACATTTATCACCAACTGGCTTGTTTGGAGTCAACATTATTTCAGACACTGTTCATTTCTGGGTAATTTTTGTTGATAATGAAATGATATTTAGTACATGTGTAGAGAGTAGTGGGTCTGAACATTTGTGTTTGGGCTTTTTTTCCTTCTGTATTTTAACTTTTGACCTTGTTTAGACCATGATCTTAAATTCTCTCGAGCAATAATCCTGAACGCGATACTCCATTTCACATTCACCCTTCAATTCTCCGGGGCATATTGGCTAGTACTTACCTGAAATTGACACTGGAAGCTGAACTTTCACACATGTGTTTCTCCTTATAATGACATCATATATGGTTCAAATGCATAGGTTTAGCATTAGTTTTGAGTCCTCAGCATTATATTTTAAAGTTTTAGTCATTGTTGACATTTAACTGTTGACTACATATCCAGGTGAGCCACTATTTTTGTGGACTAGTGATATAAGAATTGTTCAAATGCATACACAGTCAAAGCAAGGGATAAGTTTACTTGATTCAAGTAGCTGCCTGATTATGTTTTGTATATTTTTTACTTAACCTGCATTACTCCCTAATGCATATTACTTCTTGTTCTTGACTGAGAAGAGAGCTGTGTTAAGGTCTTTGCTTGAAGAAGTTGTTCCAACTAGCTGAGATGCCAACCCTATCACGCAGCTCCCATGTGACCAAAGGAAGTGACGTCCCGGATCCTCACATTACTCTTGTCACTTGCTGAGAGATGACCTGTTTTTGATCTGTAGCACAAACTTGTTCAAACCCTTACGAGTTTTGCTTTTGAGTAAATGTTCATTGTGCTTGTGTTGTGCACACAGTTTGTATCTTGTGAAACATTGTATGTTTTAACATAACTTTTGTACACCTGCTGGCGTTTTCTTAAGAAAGAAACAATGGTAAACCCAGGTGTCTTGTTGTTACAAGTAGCCATCTTGAATATTTTATGTGGCCAGTTATTAACTGGCCTGCGTTCTATATTCTTCTTGCTTTGTACCCCACCATTGGCGTACCCTCGCAAGTATTTTGTCTTCGTTTTGTATGTTGTCTTACGTTTGTCGTAATAATTGTTTTATAAATCCACGCAGTGGGATAAACAAATTATAGTAAACATAATCTTGAGGGGACGCATTGTGATTTTACACTGCTTCATTGCAGATATCATGCCCTCATGCTCAAAGTGCCGGCTTAATATGTAGGCATGGGATCCCCACCACCTGTGCCTTAGTTGTCCCCAGGGTCATAGAGATGTACAGACTGTCTCCGCTTTCCCCCACAGCTTTCAGATGGTACCTCCGTATGTCCAGGAAACAGAGAACGCAACAGGCCAGGAAAACACCAGCGCCAGATGTCTGACTTATCCGAGTATTCACCCACAACCAGATCGGCTATCTCGGACGACAACTCCCCGACCTCCATTACTACCATGATGTCGGGCCCCATGGTCTCGGTCTCTACCCAGAGCTCCCTGACGACCACTACTGCGTCTATCTTAATGTTGCCTATCCAGTCCCCGGACAGACGCATGGCGCCCAACAGGCACCCAGTCTACGGCCAAGACGCCTATGAAGGACGCCCCTCTCCTCCAGTACATCCAGTATTTGCGAGCCATGCAACAGACGCCGACGCCTATTGCCCCAGCGCCTATACAGACGCCTCTGCAGACGCCTATACAGATAGCGCCTATCCTTAAACAGCGCCGATACAGACACCAGCGCATCGTCGGACGCCTATACAGACGCCAGTGCCTCGTCAGACGCCTTTACAAAAGCACCGTCAACAGCGTCCGTAACGGCGTCTATTCTAGCGTCTCTGGTTGCGCCTATCCTTGCACCTCTCCTAAGTGCGCCTGTACAGATGCACACCCGGGACAACCGCACAGACAGGTGATTAGCCATTGCGCGATATCCTTGTGGCTACATGCTCTCATTCTACAGGCCTATGAGATCGTTGGATCCCCAGGGCCAACCAGAGACCATAGCGGTCGCTGGACACTTGATTGGCGTCCATACAACGGCTCTCCAACACTTCCCAAGATCCTGGAAGCGCCTAACCTCGTGGTGACGGTTCTGTGGAAATCTACCGCCAATTCTCCTCGTCTATCAACGTTGGTTGAACATTTCCTCGGAGAAAGCGAACATACTCTCAAAGATTTCCCTACCAAAATCGTCATATGCTTCCGGGTACCCAACTGGGTCATCATTCACAACACCGGACCAGTCGCCACTCTTATCATGGGGATCAACTTGCCCCTACACCGGCAACGTCACAGTTCCTACTCAGAACTCGGACACACCACTGGTCTGTCAACCACAGGGTTCACAGGGGATTGGCCGTGGGTGGAGCTTGAACTAGTCCACTCAGCATACGGGGTAACAATTTACTGCGCAGAACGACATACATGTCACATGTCAAGAACTACGACTGTAAACATCGTCGACCGTAATCAGGTCAACTGACCTTATGGGATCCGTGCAGTGTATTTGTACAGACTGGCTTGCATGATCACTTATGCGTAACACTGCAACCACTCGACCAGACGCCTGTCGCTGTACATCAATGACTCAATCCCGAGTCTCAGCCTTCGCCCGAGACGAGACAGCTCTCAAGACCCTGGCTAGGGTGTCACAGCCAGCCTTTGCTGAGGCATCCCAGTCTGGCTCATACCAGCCGCGATGCAACACCCTCCAGCCCCAGTGGCGAGGCACCACCTCAACCTCACGGGGCGCTTAACAGTCCCGCCCTGGCCACTCCGAGAGAGGTAACGCCAACCGCAGGGACTTCAAGTGAATAGCCAAACAGGCACGACTGGGACTTCCACCCCCAGCCGTCCAAGTTGTCGACACTCCAGTACGTGGGAGACTGGATCATTTCTGGCAGAATTGTGAGATCCTGGGGACCCATATGTCACCAACATCATCTGACATGGGTACAAGCAGGCACTTATAGACGACCTGCTCTACCTACCCCCCTACTTAACAGCAGCTACCAAGCCAGTACTAAGCCAGTACATCTCAGCTCTGCTGGACAAGAAAGCGATAGAGGTTATACACGCCCCAGCCATAACACCGGGCTGCTTTTCACCTGTCTCCAATGAGACCCAGGCGATCGCCTCGACCATGGCGCCACACAGCAATTGAGCTCCACTTGATATCATGAAGAGGTGTTCTGGCGATCAAACACATTCGTCGCCAGTCACTATATGCGAGATGTCGCATTGGAGGATGTGCTCCCCACGCACAACTTGGTCCGTTAGTAGTGCCCAACAGGCTCCTCTACTACACCTCACTGACCTCGCCTCCAAGTCCAGAGCCTCCTTTCGACCTCCCCTGGCGTAAGCCCTGGACTAGAAGGTTCATGCCCCACTTACATACGGCTCGGTACTCCAGTCTCGACCTAACCGAGAGTTATTGTCAGGCTGCGCAGTACCAGGACACAACGCATACCTGACTCTTCCCTTCAATGTAATGGTCATCCAGGCCGACCATACGGCTGAAGATGGGCTGAAGGAAAGAGAGTTGCCATACATGGAGTGGTCACCTGATGCTGACCACACAGCCGAGGACGGGCTGAGGGAATTGGAGTTTCCCATACATGGAGTGGTCACCTGATGCCGACCACACAGCTGAGGGAATTGGAGGTTCCCATACATGGAGTGGTTACCCGAAGCCGACCACACAGCCAAGGATTGGCTAGGGAACAGAGTCTGGAAATTAAAGATGAAAGTCCACATCTGAAGGTATGCCCCCCCCTGGTTCAGTCCGATAAAGATCCATTAAGGAGTAATGCAGGATAAGTAAAAAAATCTAGTGAAATCCTAGATATTTTTTATATTTGTATACTTATCCTGCATTACTGCGTCTAAAGGGACCCATCCAGACTTAAGAGTAATGTGAGGATCCGTGACGTCACTTCCTTTGGTCACGTGGGAGCTGCGTGATAGGGTTGGCCTCTCAGCTAGTTGGAACAACTTCTTCAAGCAAAGACCATCACACAGCTCTTTCCTCTGTCAAGAACAAGCAGTAATATGCATTAAGGAGTAATGCAGGATAAGTGTACAAATATAAAAAATATCTGGGTTTTACTAGAATTTTGTTTATCCTCCCGCAAAGTTTTGCAAGGGGGTATTAAAATAGACTGTGTCCTTCTGTGTGTCTTTCTACACAAAATGTCATTTCAGAGCAGATCTTGAAGTCTGTACAATATTTCTTCACCAAACTTGGCACTTGGATAGTGAACAGGTGCCTTTTGATACCATTACATTTGACATGCAGTCAATATAACTAGTTAATTAATTCACGACAAGAATTTACCATTGTGGGGTATATCAATGACTTTGTCCCCTTGTTGATAATTTTTTGTGCCATGGGAATAAGATCATTGCAAAATTCAATCTGGAATTATGTGATAAAGTAGTGTTTGTGATAAAGTTGGTTAGCTGGAAACACTGGTTCGGCTAAATTCTTAGCTTGTTTAGTTGTTACTTATGATGCTTATTAGTGTTTGGGGTCATTAAAACAATCTTGTCTACTTAAATAATGGGCCTGTGGCTTCATTACAGAATAAACACAATTATAGCTATAATTGCTATTTCTGTGTATATCTGTAAGAAGATACAAATCACCTCTAGATGTACCCTTGGCTGTTTATTGATTAGACACTCTGTGTATAAAATAAGACATTGTTTTCACTTTTAATGTATGTTACTTTCCCAAAGAGGCAAATGTGGTCTGTTAATGCCTGTTTTGTGTTTCAGTATCAGTTGGTGGGACAGGGGTTCAGGCATACCAGATTGCTACATCAGGCGCCCTACCGCAGGGAGTGGTGATGGCAGCAGCCGGTAGTCCTATCACAAGTCCAGGGGGACATGGGGAGGAGGCTTCACGCAAGAGAGAACTTAGGCTGCTTAAGAACAGGTATGTATTGTTTTGTCGGATTTAATACATCCATACAAACATACTGGGCAAAGTTGTCATTTACCAATGTTCAATTGTGAATTTACTCCTGACTACGACATACAATACGACTACCCATTTCAATAAATGATTTATTTCTGTGTTGATTTTTCCAAAAGAAATATATATGTAATAATATAACCTGGCCAGTCTATTCTCACACATAGAGTACATCACACCATATGCCCCTCGAGATTGGTAGACAACATATAACATATGACAACATATTATTGTATCCATATTGTGACATCCCTTATAATGACTGAGTCAGTTGTGTGTACAACAAAGGGTTACATCTTGTACACTGACTCTAGATAATACCAGTAATAACTTCATGATATGTACTTCATGATATTAATTACTAGTGTTTGAAAATTAAAGATGGCGGTCATTGGGTCTTTGTCATTGTACTGGTACTAGTGGTGAAATGACACGGCAAGGTCATGATTCAAAGGTCTTGATAAAATATGTAATGCAATACACTCTTTTATGTCAAATTGTGTGGAAACTTCTTGACTATAAATATTTCAGAGTAGGTTCAAAGGGAAAGCTAGCTGTAGACACATATGCAATATTAAGTAGTAAGATATTTATGTTAGCAATTGTATTGTCTGATAATGATACAGAAATATAGTATCATTGTTAGAATTTGCAGTGCACCACCGATGTATCGTTTCATGCTTAGTACTTACCCTAAAAGGTGGTTCACGATATTGTATCAAAACCTTATGGTCCCAGGGACATCAAGCTACTTTTCCCCTATAAATATGGCATTAACATATCTTAATTGGTCCTGTCATGAGTGAAATGAAGCTCACTTCTACAAAGTCATAACAGTATTTTTTAACTGGTACTGCATTACATATTGCACATTGCTCTTACTAACTAAGTCCTAACTGAAAATGAATAATTATCTAGCAGCCCAATGTGACCTCCATGACATCTGATGTCGGAAGACATGCCCCCTTGTCATTATTCTCTTCTTCCATGACTAAGCAGGACGTGAGGGACAATATCTTTTGGATTTTCAATGCATGGAAGTAATAAATTCCATGTCAGTACCTCCGGTCGTGGTTTCGTGTTTGTGCCATTTTTCTTTATGGCAGGAGACGCAAAAACAAATTCTTGACATGGTGATACTTGATGAATGTATTTTGCATTTGTTATGTTTATCATTTATATTATCGAGTAGATAAACTTATTTGCTATATGAATATGATTTTCACTGACATCACATCATTGTACAAATAACTAGACTGGGCCGGTTTTTATGTTATTTGTGGCGTTACCTTTCACTCCCATGTTACTGATGTTTGCTGCCAAGTGCACTTTATGTAGAGGCAAGAAGTCGGCGAAAGATCCTCACCTCCGTGATTCTGACTGTCAGACAGTGTCTCCCCTCTCGTAGGTATGAGGATTTGGCCTCCCTCTGTGACAAGGGCATCCTCACCTATCTTAGGGTTAAAACCAAGAGAGGGTCGGTCGGACAGCCTAGTGGTAAAAGCGTTCGCTCATCACGCCGAAGACCCGGGTTCGATTCCCGACATGGGTACAATGTGTGAAGCCCATTTCTGGTGTCCCCAGCTGTGATATTGCTGGAATATTGCTAAAAGCGGCGTAAAACCATACTCACTCACTATAACCAAGAGAAAACAGCAACAGGCCCATCATAAGATGTCAGACCTTTGCTCTGCCTCTTCAGGGCCTTGGCTGAGCCCAGGCCTAGCACTTTGGCCAAGCTCATCAATGGCCTGTGCCTCCAGCAGTGGTGCCTCATCTTAGCCCCAGGATCAGCCACCCGCCTGAGCTCTGGACCCAATTAGACAATTTCACACGATCTCAGCTGAGGTAACGACGGATAGAACTGTCATGTACTTGTTCGGTTACCATATGTCATTGCCGGCTAGCACCCCATCCTCAAGACAGCGGTCGATTACACCCTTGGCTGCATCGTAGGGTGGAGTCCCTTTTTGTCTTCCTTCACTCCAGGAAGTAGGGGTCATCCATCCAGCGAGCATCTTTATCGGAACTAAACTACGACGACGAGGATCCTGACTTACGACTCTTACTCTGATGCAGTCCCCCGGATTGCTGATTTTCTGCCCGCAGAGATGTCTATCAAGCAGGGCACGAGGCTCCAAAAGACTTGCCATATGGAGGGAGGGAAACTGGTGTTGATTGCACTGCCACCTGACGTATTTGTCAAAAAAAACTAAACAAGGGTTTCAAAATCATACCACCTCGTTCAAGCTGCTGACGCATGCTAAGAAACAACCTGTACACGGCCTGGATTATGCTTAAAAATAGCCACCTCAAAGTTTTGTTGAGGATGACTGGATCCTCCAGGGTTGGTACCTCCCTGGTCTCGTCCCTGAATGGGGAGTTGCGGAAAACTCTGCCACACTTACCATATATCGCTGTCTATAAAGTGACCCCACGTATAAGACGACCCCCCTGTACAAGCCTTTAAAATTGATGCAATTTATATACCCTGCCTATGAAGCGAATCGGAATGAAGCACATCACCAGCGCATACACAATCCCTACATTTGCAATAAAAACGTGTTTGTCTTCCGCAGAAAAAAAATTACATCATTTCCCTGATCGCTGAAGAGAAACGAACAGATCATAACAATTAAACTTGGTCAATACAAATTTAAAAGTTGAGATAAAAAATGATCCTTGACCGATTAAATTGTATTTCCTATTCTGATAAGCATTGTGTTATATGCAGAGATAAAGATTACCGTGTGTATTTTCTTGTAACCTAAGCCGGAAGTAGCAATCAGCTGTACACGTTTCTCGGAATCTACCGGTGATTTGGTTTATAATCATCCAATAATATAACTTTAAAGAATTTTGATACAATAATCGAAAGCATTGAATCTGATACTATTATTTTATTCGGAATAATTTATTCCAATATCATGTTATTTTAGTAGTATTTTACTAGCACTTTTTTTTCCGTATGGAACAATTTGACCAATCACCGCCGATGCTTCTGCGCTCGCGACAGTGAAAACTTTATGTTGACAAATAATTGTCACATTACAACAAATATGACTTTCAACTAGTCAAAGTATGGCATTTATGATATACTGGTATATATCCATTCTCTATCCACTAAAGTTCATTTCAAGGCGTCAATAGCGGTAATATGACCTTGGTTGCTGTAAAATAATGGTGAGTTGTGTGATCTTCCGTACGATTTTGCGGAAATGAAAATAAACAATATTGAATGAAATTTTGAATAAGATTAATAAAATAGATTACAAAGGTAAGTCCAGATATATAATGACCAGATAGTGTAATTACATGATTAGTTACATGGTATTTCCAGTGTAACGTGCTCACAGTTATGTCTGTGTTGGGGGGAAAAACATCAAAACTCTTCAACCCTGTGTATAAGACGACCCCCCTTGAAATCCCTCTTATTCAAGGTAAGAAAAACTTGCCTTATACACAGTGATATACGGTATCAGTTTTGGCGGCGTCCCTTGTGGCCATGAATGCATGCCTGAGAGAGTGGTCCATGCTTGTTAAGGCAGCTGGGAAATTTAAGCGACCATGTTCTACACATGTTGGCCTCATTCACTCTCCTCGGGAGGCAGTGCCATCTATCCACCTTGACTTTGGGTCCACATTTTAAGACGACTTTGATCAGCCAACTGCAGACATCGCCAACACTTTTCAACAATCTCATAGCGCCAGTACATGAACAAGTGGCAAGGACTGAGGACATGCAGGACATTCTCTCCACTCTGAAGCGATGAAAGATAACCCCATCAGGGCACCTACCAGCAATGCTGGGACTTCTGCAAAAGGGCTAAGGAACAGAGTGATAAGGACTCCTTTCATGAAAAGGGACGGATCAAATGTCCCAGAGCTGAGTCTGGCTGTGGAGGCCGATCCAGTTTCTCCAGGATGAGAGGCTATAAGAAGTGACTGTCCAAGGGGACAGACACGACTGGGATCTTGTCTCATCTCTCTTGAAGATGGTACTTGTTGTTACCCTGCCTGGCGCAAGGCATTAAAGGGCTTAATCAAGGAATGGTCGGCTCGGAGTCCATATCTGAGTATGAGTTGGGTTAACTGTGGTATGGTATCTCACTGGTCCAGCATGAAATCGGCATTAGTCTGGACTACCCGGTAGTACAAGCAGACATTAACCTCTCCTTACCTACAGTTGGATATGTGCAATGTAATGCAGGATAAGTAAGAAAGTACCCAAGGGACTGGCGTCTTCCTCCCCATTGTACCATCAGCCCTGATGGAAGCTTTGAAGAGAATAATAACAGATAGGGGATGCGTCTTCCTACACCAGATGTCACAGAGGCCATGTTTGGCAATGAGTCATTGAAGATGCTATTAGATAGTCATTCATTCTCAGTTAGGACTTCGTGAGTAAGCAAAATGTGCAGTATGTAATGCAGGATAAGTATATAAATAAACATATTACTCTGATTATGTAATTATAACTGGTAGCATGAATTGGGAATTGGTTATTTCCCTTTGGGAAGATTTTCTGACGTTTGCTGCAGATTTGGGGCCGAATATTCGTTCATGAACTGGTCTAGATAAATCCCTGCTCATATTTTGTGGTGTTCTGATGATTGATTTTGATAGAAGCTTGTGCGGTCACCCTTTAATGACATAATTACGTAATCATAAATTGTAAACATGAAACTATAAACATGAAACTGTTCACACACTGACATCAACTTTAATGTGTAGGTCCTTTTTTGAAACATTAATGATACATCTTGTACACTCTTAACAGTGTCAATTAGTGCATGCAACTGTATACACCACAACATTGCCTTGTGTTTTTAACTGTCCCTCAATCCCAGTAGAGACTATAGATTATGAATTAATTAATCAACTCATTTTGTGAACTAAAAACACTTATTTAGACATTCAAAGAACTTAATTTGTGATACTCACAGCAATATAAAGACTGGATGTGGTCTTTTAGCTTATGAGAATATTAGTGCCAGGAAATTACACTATCTCCTGGATTACACATAATTGGTTTACGTGGACCAGCCAGTAAGAAAGCAGGGGAATAGTATTTATTGGTTTCTTTGTGTTAACCAAGACTGTTGGTGATTGTATTAATAAATAGCATCAGGGGAAATATTAGGGGACTGGACAATGGATAAGTAGATTTAATGTTATGTAGAGTTACTTCCCCTGTAATGAAACCAGAGATGCTATGATGTGAAAGGAGTACCCGAAGTGTTGGGTATACATGTGGTTCCCTAGTGACATTCAGGGCAGCATTTTTACAGTTTCAAACTACACTTTTAAGTTGTAGCATAATTCATGTTTACACTAGATGTGTTCAGTTTTTGAAATTAATGATGGTCTTTCAGACCTTTATGGTATTTGAATCGAGGGACCTCCGAGTCATTAACTTTGAATAATAGGGTAATGACAAAGACCCATGACTTTCATGCTTAGACTGAAACACATGTATTAACATGAATAATGTGATGCAAGAATAAACAGATTGTTCTGCTTTGTGGACTAATGGGTAGGCATTCTGATTATGACAAGTAAGCCTCTAGACCGCTCACTTTATTTTTTCATCCCAAACTGGCTCCCACAGGAGATATTGCGTGGGTGAGATCAAGCGATATCTAAATCTACAGAGCAGAACTCAGAAACCATGGGAGATATCTTAACTACACTTGGCACATAGAGAGGTCTAGTGGTGAACTGGTGACTTTTGATAGTTTGGAATTTTAAAAAAATTCAAAAATTCCAGTTTACATGGCAACGAATTTGGCTTAGACTGAAAATGGCAGTAGTGCTTGTTTCAGGAGCAGATCTTGAAAACTGTAAATATTTCTTCACCAAACTTGGCACATAGGTAGGTCTAGTGGTAAACTGGTGCCTGGGATTTTATAAAAAAATTATTTTTCGATTTTCCATAGCAATGACTTTGACTTAGACTGAAAATGGCGGTAGTTCTCGTTTCTGGAGCAGATCTTGAAAACCGTACAATATATTTTGCTTTGCACACAACTGGACATGTCATTTTGGTGGGGAATATGACTATTTCATGCTTGTTAATAATGTCGCAATTTGTGCAAATGATACATGATGAAATGAGTTCCTTTACTTAGCTTTACAACACTTAGCTCTTTACTGGCATAAATGAGACAATGGGAATGATTTGAAAGAAGGTATTATTGGTGTATGTCTGTTACCTGCTGAAATGTTTCTGTCACATTTGTTTTATGTTTGCATGTTGTGCTGTCAGCAAATGCCACCATTTGGTTGATATGATTTTGTTCGTTTGTTGTTTAACGCCACACTTAGCAATATTCCAGCTATATGACGTTTGCCTTTAAATAATCGAGTCTGGTCCAAACAATCCAGTGACTGACATCATGAGCATCAATCCACGCAATTGGAATATGATGACATGTATCAACCAAGTCAGCTAGCCTGACCACTCGATCCTGTTAGTCGCCTCTTTCAGCAAGCATTTTTTGGTGAAGACCTATTCTAACCCGGATCCTTACGGGTCACCTGGGACAAATTTATTTTAGAGAATTGCAGAAAAAGAATCTAAATCAGTGTCTGCTAACCTCATCAATCTGCCTTATGTTTAGGTATTTTTGGGGGGTGACCTGATCCTTTTTTTTTGTGATGCTGTGCCTATTCGGGGATGAGTGCTGAGAAAAGTAATAATTTTCCTGGGAGATTCCTCACCCTTCTTCATGCAAAATAACACTTACATAAAGAACTGATGTAGGAGAACTCATCATGGGAACAATCAACATTGTCTGAACTGCACAAAACCCATGTATTGTATACTGCTGCAAAAGTGGAAGTATTGTGTCACTAGTGCTATGCTTCTATCTATGCAATCTTTACTTGAATTTGCATTGAATTTGAATGACTTGTACTCAAAATCACAATGTTATGTGACACTCGCAAGATGAGTCTGCCTCCGATTGTACTGTTCATGTTTGGATATTGGGATGCTGTTTGTGTTAACAACTGTTGAAATTTCATGTTCTTTTTGAAGGTTATATAAACCTGTTGGTTGTTCTTATCATTAGTAAAGAAAATTTGGCATTTCATATTTTAAAATGAAAACATTTTCACTCAAATTACAGAGAGGCAGCACAAGAATGTCGCAGGAAAAAGAAGGAATATGTGAGGTGCCTCGAAAACAGAGTTGCTGTGTTGGAAAATCAGAACAAAACTTTGATAGAAGAATTGAAAGCTTTGAAAGAATTATATTGTCAGCAAGATGGATAAGAGACTTGACACTGTTGAGTGGACTTGAGTGTAAAGCCTTTGATCAGTGTGAAAATTGAAAGGATTTTCATGTTTCAATAAAGTTGTAATTATATTCATCTTACAGAGAAGCTGCTCGAGAGTGTCGAAGAAAAAAGAAGGAATATGTCAAGTGCCTCGAAAACAGAGTGGCAGTGTTAGAAAATCAGAACAAAACTTTAATTGAAGAGTTGAAAGCTCTGAAAGAGTTATATTGTCAGAAGGATACATAGAATGGCAGATGTGTTTCTTGATGGACGAGATAGGTTGCATTAGTCCCATGAGGGGCAGGAGATACCTCAGGGTTTGGATGAGAAGGAGGGAGAGAGAAGATACTCCAGTCTCAATATTCATAATATCTGGATGTGAGGAACACAGGTGTACACACTCAATGTGTTGTGTTCCGGGGCACACTGGTGTATTCTATTCATAATACATGTTAGAAGACACTACCTGGACAGTCAGGCCCAGGTGAAATGGATAGCCAGCCAAGTGTCTCACTCCATGGTGTCCAGTGAAGAAAGAGTGCAGTGGAAGTGCAGTGTTTGGTGCAGACCAAGTATGGTGACCAGTGCTGGTCCTTTCCACTCTGTTGCTTGTACAACAGATAGATGGTGCTAGCTGACGACAGAGTGGAATTTCATTTCTTATCTGTTTCTAAAGAGCAACTACATGTTCTCCATAGAAGGATTTATTCCCATGTCTCATACTTATTTAAATCTCACCATTTTGTTTGTATATATTGTGAATCTGTTTTGTTGGTCAGTCAGATTTTATGTCTGCTGTCAGACATACTTGTGTAACTGTGGGGGTGTTTTACCCCTTGTGCCAAGTGTCTATCTACATATAGTTACATGGATTTGTTATTTGTAAGATTGTATATGTAGCACACTGTATATGCTTGTTGTTAAAGTTTCCTGAACAAAGGAATTGTAACATGTTTTACATGTAAATACAGATACTTACATTTCAGTGTGTGACAAAGTTTTGTTGTTTTTTAAGAGGTTCGTGCAGATCTCTTGAGGCTGCAGAAATAGCAGCTTCTCAACACACACTATGACATAAAAAACCTCTATGTGCAGTCTGTTCAGCACAATTTGGCCACTCATGTTGACTTTAGGCACATGAATAGATTAATTCTAGAATGTTGCAAACTCAGAAAGTCTTAACATCAGAACATAAACACAATTATGTGTGTTGTGACTTCAGAAGCAATTGAGTTAAGTAGTATAACTTAACATGATCATCATGCAACTGTTCTGATGCACTGTATTAATTGTTGAAGAAGCTTTTAATGCAAGTTTTATATTTTAATTGCAGTTAGCATGTTACAACAGATATAAAAATGTTACATGCTACAAGGACATTGTTATCCCAGGGTGATGAACTTCCAATTCCTGTTCAGCTTTTGACCAGTCATAACAAAAGACAACTGGAAACAGGGTTCAGTTAGGACAACAGTATGCTCTCTAAATTGCACAAGGTTTCAAGTACACTACAAGGTTAGATGGGTAAACAGGGTGAAGCTGCTGCAGTCTTTGAAATAAAGGATAAAATTGAAGGTGTTCTTGTCTTTATGTTGTTGTTTAGTAATGTTAACCTCTGGAGACCAGAGAAATAGTTTGACTTATCCCTGATTCAACACATCCGACTCAACCTTATTACCCTCGATTATTTACAGCCCACCATCATATAGCTGTAATATTGCTGAGTGCAGTGTTAAACAACAAACAAATAAACCGTCTGACCTAGCCATCAGACAATAGAAAGCAAACGTACAACATTATGGATTTTATGTAAATAACATTGCATAATAGGAAATGAAAACAGACCCATTTGTCATGTCTACATGTATGCATCTATATACATTGTATATACATATCACTTGATTGTAATAATACCACATCATGCACATAGGGTAAGTTTTAACTCTTGGAACTTTGAATTGAGTTAGGAATTCAACACAAAAATACTGATAAATATTTTAACTGTTCGCCTGGACAGGAGTTCAACACAACCGGAGATTCAAGACAAGGGGGTTCCACTGTTCTATATGTGCATTTGCCAAACAGAGTTGTCCCCCTTTAGTTGTCAGAATCAACTGGTCAAAGCTTCAAATAAAAGATTGGCAACCAAACTTGGTTTACCCTGTCAAGACCATGCTCAGTTGTTTCAACAAAGTGGTTCATGTCTTTACTCTTCTATCACTTTGGGACTTTTAATGTTTGTAAAGTAAAATGCCTATCACAGGAGGGTTTGTTCTCAGACGTTTCCCTGACCAGATACATATGGAAGTAAACAAGAAGTGGTGCATGTTTTCTTCTTTCCAGGTGTATATATAAAAAATGCACGCGATCAGGGAATATCAAATGTTAATAGTTGTTACTCTTTTTTCGAGTTGAAACGTTTCATTTTTTTTAAATCCAAAGATGGAGTGGGAAAAAACAGCATTGAACGCCTTTATTTCACCTTGTAATTATAGCTTTTGACTCCTGACTCCAAACAAAAACCACTTAATAATTCTACTGTTTATACATTTTACGTAATGCTATTTTTTGGGAAGTGTCATTGCGACCTTACGTCACAATAAGATTCCAAGGACGTCAACAATGCCGTCCGAATGATATGGGAAACTGGACTTTTATAGTCAGTTAACTCGGGAAGATGAGATTCGCTCAGCCCAGATGGTGTTTATATTTCTCAGCACATGTTCGAGGGCTTGCTTCTAAGACCTGTAACACTTCGGGCTTTCCTCCCATACCAAGCAGACACGCCGTGATATAACCGGAAAAGTGTTCAAACCTGCGCTAAACAAAATGGTACAATACCACTCGCTCGCTCACTTTAACCTGACCTGTTCCTTCGTATTTTCTTTTATTCATTGTTATGCCATTGCACATGAAACGTATGTTCCCTGGTGAGCAAGTATGCCAATTGCATATGTATATAATTACACATTGTGTATATAAGGATCACAGAAATGTCAAAATGAAATGTCACGGATGAACGAACATGTAAGAGATATACTTCGGTTCGAAAGTATGTAACTTCTTGCTGTAGTTTATTTCAGAAATCTGGACTTTGTACCGTTTTGTTAGCAGGGTAGCAGCACAGCAAAGGTATTGTATTGGAACCTCGCAATGGCTTCGGTCGTATGACGTCGGTAGGTTCTAATTTTAAGAATCTGGGATGGATAGATCCCAACATATTCTGGTGAAGTAAGGTGACTAAATGGATCCGGTAGTCAGGCTCGGTGACTTGATTGATAAAAATGAAAGTTGACAAGATGACCAAACTTCCAAACATGTGAGAGCCTTGCAGATTTGGTTAGGAATGGACCGACCATGTGGTGTTAGCACCGACCATTTGATGTTAGGACCGACCATTTGATGTTAGGACCGACCATTTGATGTTAGCACCGACCATGTGATGTAAGGACCGACCATGTGATGTGAGGTCCGACCACTTGATGTTAGCACCGACCACTTGATGTTAGGACCGACCATTTGATGTTAGCACCGACCATGTGATGTTAGGACCGACCATTTGATGTTGGCACCGACCATTTGATGTTAGGACCGACCATTTGATGTTAGGACCGACCACTTGATGTTAGCACCGACCATGTGATGTAAGGACCGACCATGTGATGTGAGGTCCGACCACTTGATGTTAGGACCGACCATTTGATGTTAGGACCGACCATGTGATGTAAGGACCGACCATTTGATGTTAGGACCGACCATTTGATGTTAGCACCGACCATTGATGTTAGGACCGACCATTTGATGTAAGCACCGACCATTTGATGTTAGCACCGACCATTTGATGTTAGGACCGACCATGTGATGTTAGGACCGACCATGTGATGTAAGCACCGACCATTTGATGTTAGGACCGACCATTTGATGTTAGCACCGACCATTTGATGTTAGGACCGACCATTTGATGTTAGGACCGACCATTTGATGTTAGGACCGACCAATTGATGTTAGCACCGATCATTTGATGTTAGGACCGACCACTTGATGTTAGGACCGACCACTTGATGTTAGGACCGACCATGTGATGTTAGGACCGACCATGTGATGTAAGGACCGACCATGTGATGTGAGGACCGACCATGTGATGTTAGGACCGACCACGTGATGTGAGGACCGACCATTTGATGTTAGGACCGACCACGTGATGTGAGGACCGACCACTTGATGTAAGGACCGACCATTTGATGTTAGGACCGACCATGTGATGTTAGCACCGACCATTTGATGTTAGGACCGACCACTTGATGTTAGGACCGACCACTTGATGTAAGGACCGACCATTTGATGTTAGGACCGACCACTTGATGTTAGCACCGACCATTTGATGTTAGGACCGACCATGTGATGTTAGGACCGACCATTTGATGTTAGGACCGACCACTTGATGTTAGGACCGACCACTTGATGTAAGGACCGACCATTTGATGTTAGGACCGACCACTTGATGTTACCACCGACCATTTGATGTTAGGACCGACCATGTGATGTAAGGACCGACCATGTGATGTGAGGACCGACCATGTGATGTTAGGACCAACCATGTGATGTGAGGACCGACCATGTGATGTGAGGACCGACCATGTGATGTTAGGACCGACCATGTGATGATAGGACCGACCATGTGATGTTAGGACCGACCATTTGATGTTAGGACCAAACCATGTGATGTTAGGACCGACCATGTGATGATAGGAGACCATATGATGTTAGGACTGACCACTTGATGTTAGGACCGACCATATGATGTTAGGACCGACCATGTGATGTTAGGACCGACCATGTGATGTGAGGACCGACCATGTGATGTTAGGACCGACCATGTGATGTGAGGACCGACCACGTGATGTGAGGACCGACCGTGTGATGTTAGGACCGACCATGTGATGTGAGGACCGACCATGTGATGTGAGGACCGACCAATTGATGTTAGGACCGACCATGTGATGTGAGGACCGACCATGTGATGTTAGGACCGACCATGTGATGTGAGGACCGACCATGTGATGTTAGGACCGACCACTTGATGTTAGGACCGACCATGTGATGTTAGGACCGACCATGTGATGATAGGAGACCATATGATGTTAGGACCGACCACTTGATGTTAGGACCGACCATGTGATGTTAGGACCGACCATGTGATGTTAGGACCGACCATATGATGTTAGGACCGACCATGTGATGTGAGGACCGACCATGTGATGTTAGGACCGACCATGTGATGTGAGGACCGACCACGTGATGTGAGGACCGACCATGTGATGTTAGGACCGACCATGTGATGTGAGGACCGACCACGTGATGTGAGGACCGACCATGTGATGTTAGGACCGACCATGTGATGTGAGGACCGACCATGTGATGTGAGGACCGACCATGTGATGTTAGGACCGACCATGTGATGTGAGGACCGACCATGTGATGTTAGGACCGACCATGTGATGTTAGGACCGACCATGTGATGTGAGGACCGACCATGTGATGTTAGGACCGACCATGTGATGTGAGGACCGACCATGTGATGTTAGGACCGACCATTTGATGTTAGGACCGACCACGTGATGTGAGGACCGACCATGTGATGTTAGGACCGACCATGTGATGTTAGGACCGACCGCTTGATGTTCTAGGGGAGGCTGGGATTTTCGGGAGTTGTCATTCCGCTTCATCTGCAAAAACATTTTTTTAAACTATGAGCCTGAATTTTTAAATATAAAAAAACATGCAACACTTAGATGTATTTAGGCAGGCAATTTCTTTCTTTTTTCATGTCTGAAGCATAATTATTTTTGTCAGGAATTTTCAGGGACAATTAATTTTTTTCGATTTGTGTTTGTTAGATGTGGGCATCACCATTAATCCATGCAAGCTTGATATAAGGAAATGAAGCGCTGGCTTTTCGTTAAGAAATGTATGCATTTTGTGAAATGGATTAGTTGTAAATTATTTGAAAATAATTTATTCCTAATGTTTAGAATATATATATAGTCGTCTAGACACTTTGGATTTTTGTTTGGTATTTCCTGGAAAATCCTCGACTCTTTATCAGGCTAGCCTCAACGGTTGGACTTGAGAATTGACACATGCTCAAAGAGTCACATTGCCATCACTGTCCGTGGCACGCTCTATACTCTGGAGTACCCAGTTGTGTGTACATTGTATAGATAGTTGTATGGATAAATGCAGTTTTCGTAAATAGCTGTGTCATCATTTCAGCTAATCAGTTATATATGCGGTATTCCAACCTGTAAATAATCGCGTCAGAGTCAGACAAACGAGTTTATATATGACAATACAAGCAATGATCATCCGAATCTTGGATTCGGACCCACGATAATAACGTTCTTGTAACACCCAAGGGAGGCAACTCTCTACAGCGAATGACGGTGCCTTGGACGACAAGGTCACCCTTGACTTCCGTCAGGTGACGCGGGGAAGTTGAGACTGTATATCTATAAACTGACAGCCTGTAAATGATCGGTTCTGGGTCAGACAATCCAGTGATTGTTATGAGCAGCCAG